TGTCCATTTGTGGTGAGCCTGCCATGTACGTTCTCTGCTTCCCCACCTCCAGCCTCAGTTTACTCCCTCACAGTAAGAAGCCACTTGGGAGGTCTCAGGAGGCTTGTTTCTTCTGCAGTTCCCTCCAGGAGCTCATCAGAATTGATCCAGATCCTCCAACAGCGAGTGGCTGTGAGGAGGGGCCACAGTGCTAGCCGAGGCCAAGATTCGCGTCTCTCCAGCACTGAGATGACAAGGCTATGTGACCATGCCTGGCTTTTTACATGGGTGCTGGGGATCTCATGCTTGCTTGGCAGGCACTTGACCAGCTAGCTGTTGTCCCCCCCGCCCCCATCATGTCTAGACTCTTCTTACAGTGAGAAGTTCGAGTAAAGCATTGGCTTGAAATCGCCCGTATTCATGTTTCCTTATTGTGAGTCTTCATGCACTAGTGCTTGGCTTTTTTTTCTAGGGTGTATGTAACACAGGGGTCTCTGCAAAACACCTTCTTGAGCAAAGCAAAAGGCCAGAGCGGGGAGTGTGCAGTGGCTAGGTGGGCAGGGGCACCCCAGAAGCCATGTCCCATGCTCTAGCTGCACACCAAGCCAAACGAAACCACAAAACCGCACCTGTGTCAAGTGACAAGCCTTGAGCGCTCGCTCCTACAGCTTTCAGTGCAAACGTCAGACAACCACATTTGCCGAGCTGCAACACCTACATCACTAAAATCAATTTCGACTATTTCCAGCAGATGTCACAACTTGTGTTTGTCTCCCTTTTTTTATAAGGATCAGAAGCTATTTGAAATGTGTGTCCAAATGCAAGCTGAAGCTTGTGACAGACATGGCCGAATGGGAAGGTTTCCAGGATGGAATGTGGGACACGCTCTACCCAGAGCGGGAGGAAGCCATCCCTCTGATACAGACTTTTGTCCATGCACGTGTGTGCGTGTGTTCTTGTGTGTGTGTGTGTGTGTGTGTGTGTGTGTGTGTGTAGGGGGAGCGTGTCTGCAAGGCCTAGGCATGCAGAAGGCTTAAAATCTGGCCCTCCCTCCTCTTGTACCTTTCATGGTGTTTGTTCCCAAGCTGTTTGGCCTGGAATCTGAGGAGACCACTGCCTTTTCATGTTTTATACATTTTATTCATACATTTCTCCAACTTTGAAATGACAAAAGCCCAAGTCTATGGTTTCCCATTACACAGCATCCTACAGGTATGTATATTCTACAAAGAATACTATGCAGTTTCTCTTCTTCCCCTGCCACACGAGATAACTGATTTCGACTTGTACTGTGCTGGCAGTGCCACCAGCATTGTGGTTGTTCAGGCAACAGGGCAAAGGGATTGGGATGGGAGGGCGTGTGCTAAGGCATGTAAATAGATACACACAGAGAGAAAGAAAAGCAGGACATTTACAAAGGATCCAAACCTTTCCAACCCCTTCAGCTCCTCTTGCAAGCTAAGGCTTTGCTGTACCCTGCAAATACTTACAATCGGATATGGTGAAATATACAACAACCATTAACATCTCTCTCTTTTTATCACTGAGACAATACTTTTATACTTCAAAACCTTTTATAAAAAGGCAATAATACATACAGAAAGAAAGAATACGTTGGCAAAGCTTTATGCAAAGACACCTCAGAACTGATCTGAAGGGCAACGCACCTACACTGCACGGAACACGATGCTGTTGGTCTCAGCACGACCTGCCTACAGAGGACATCCCAGGCGACATCAAAGACCAGAAATCAACCCTTACCCCCCTCCCCCCAATTCTTGGTCTCTGCCAAATGAAAAATAAAGGCAAGGCCACTTTCTGTGGAGAAATACCTACTTCTACTCCCAAGCACGTATCCCTCTGCTGGGATTCTCTCCTGGGTCCAGAAAGACTCATCCCTGGACCTTACTCAGTCGCATGCTACAGAGAACAGATTTAACTCTTAACTAGTAGCAAAGTGTGAGTTTTTGCCCATACACAGAGCTGGAGATGTGCTTGGGATCAGAAAGGAGGTCTCTTGTGTGGCTGCAAACATCTCCTTCCTTTTTCTTTTGCTTGGTCCATTTGCACAGGTTCATTCAAGGGAGTTAATGGAGGGTGACAGTGGGAAGTCAGGATGTTCCCTGCCATCCCTCTAACAGCTAAGACTGGAGGATGCCTGTCTCGGGGACGGTACTTCTCTTTCCCTATAGCTGCTGCTGTTGCTGTGGGTGGAGGGCGCCAGCAGGAAGTACAGATGGGAAGCCTGGGACTGTCTTCTTCTCTCCCCTTCCCTCTTTTTCACATCTAGATGGATGTGATAGCTGAACTTCACTCTGGAAGCAGGGTAATCTGAGACTTCCCACAAGTTTAAGGCAAATGGCCATGTGCAGTGACCAGGCACAGCCAATTACACAGTAGGCCTCCCAAGTACAGTCCCGTAGCGAGTAGTACCACATAGAGAGGGAGACCCTATTTCTAAAGGGGCCAGAAAAGGGCAAGTGCCCCCCAACGAAAGCACAGATGAGAAGAGCATGCAGCCCTCCTGAAAGCCATAGTAAGAAGCAAGGCATCTCTCTAAAAGAACTGGAGACGCAGAATGAGAAAAATGCATGTAGGGACTTCAGTGTGCCTTGGCATAACAAGCTCTTGTGACAGACCAGGCAGGCTGTGCTCAGTTCTCACAGTCACCGCTAGCTGCATCTCCAGGTTGCTGACCTGAAATAAGGAGTGATGAGGGCTGCAAGTGGCTTGATTTTTGGAATGCTTATCAGTGCGCCCTCTGTTCTTTCCAAGGAGACATCTTTATAGAGAATTCACCAACCAAGCCGTCTTCTGGATGTTAGTGGCAAAACAAGCTTCATTTTGCTCCGTGGGAGAATCTGACCTAAGATGCTAAAGACCATCTCATCTGTTGGAGACAAGAGAATGCTTTGGGTTGCCTCATCCTTAAGGGGCAGTTTCCATTCTAGGTAGCTCCTCATTTCCTCGAGGGTGGCTCAATGGATTCAACTTTCTTAAAGAATAAACTGGCAATCTTAATGAAGACACACCTGATTGGAAAACAGAACTCTGAGATGAAAAGCGTGAAAAGATAACAGTAGCTTAAAAGGAAGGCTTGGAATGCCTGCCTGCCTGTTCCAGGCCTTGGATACAGGGAAGGCGCTGCTTCCTGCTCCTTCCTGCATGCTGGGGAACTCTGCAGCTTTAGCTATTCTGCCACCCACAGGCTGAGACTTTGCCTTCTGCATGCAAATTGCAAGAAGTAGGTCAATGGGTTTCTTTGCCTTTCTGAGCAGATATTTTAAGCCACCTCACCTGACAGGGTGCATCCAAAAAACTTACAATGTTATCTCGACACTGGGAACCTTCCAGATGAATTAAACTGACTGACACTTTCCTTTTTAGTGTTCAGATAGGAATACACTGTATGTGAGAAGTAATTACTGCTTCATGATTAGAAAATCAGGGCACTCCATCTTTTTAACAAAGACCTTAGGAGATCCAAACTCTCTCCTGTTGTGGAATGTGGCTGGGGTGTCACAGACGACCCAAAATCTGGCTTTCTGATACAATTCAACTGTCTACTGCTATTTGCTGTAATATTTAAAAGCGCACGTGTGTGTTTCTGATGATGAAATGGAGGCAGTCAAGAAGCTTTTCGCAATTTCCTCTGATTGCCTGAGGTTCGATTGTACTGATAATACTGACTTCAGAAATGCTTTCTCCTCCAGGCCATAAACACACGCTTTAGATGCGTGGATTAGTGGAAAAGAACAAATGATCTGTGGGGGAGGTTGCCATGTTCTACGTGCGGGGTTGTCACCACCTGTAAAAGGGCAGGAAGGATGCCTGCCTGTGCTCTTTTTTTCTCAGAACCTCCAGGAGGACAGTGAAGAGAGAAGTGCCCCAGGCCCCCAAGTACCAGAGTACTTCTCTCAGTCTTGGGTCACAGGCCTTTGAGCTGGTCTTACTTTCCTATGCTCATTTCTACCCGTAGGAACGTGGTAGATGGCTACAGACAGACCTTGCCAGCATATCTGGAGATCTGCTCTCAAGGGCAAGCGGGGGGTCGGGGGGGGGGGAGAGAAGAGGAAGGGATTCTAGATGGTTCTGTTTCCCACACTTTAGTTGCAGTCTTCTTTGTGCTTTACTGGAAGAGGTAGAGCAGGTACAGGGCCACTGAAAAAGAGTGGCTTATGGTCAGTACTACTGCAGTAATGGTGTCTGGCCTGGGCACCAGTTAGGGTTGAGGTCAGCACTACACAGCCTTAAGCAAGACCTGTAGTCTCCTCCCTTCACCTAGCAAGAGCCCACTTTTGAGCCTGCCTCTGGTGTGCTGTTCGGTCACCCCACTGTGGGACTAAACACAAGTTATTTCTCACAATATCTTGTTGGTAAGTTGTGACCCATCTGGGCACCGAGAAAGAATGATCTACAAACAGAAATCAAATGGTATTGTGTAGTAATAGCTGGGCAGGGTGGGATGCTGGGAATAGGAGAGGAGTATGAAGGCCAAAGGGCCTTCTCTGTTTAGTGCCAAAGAGGGGCTGTTCAGCCCAGAACTCATTTTGAACATTCTGCCAAGGCACAAAGTGATAGAGGCCACCTAGCCCGCAAGAAATGAAAGAGATGGTCTGTTTCCAAGGACCAGAGTCATGTCAGTGCCTTGTCCTCTCACACGAAGGGAAAACACTCTAGTGACCTCTGGCAAAGAGTCTGAGATCCCCAGCCTAAAGCTCCTCTACTGATTCTGACAGCATAGCAGGGGGTGAGATGGTGAATGTTTCTGAAGCAACAAAGACAGGTGATTCCCCTGTGCCAAGGGATAGAGCAAGAGGAAGGAGAGACCACAGGTGGCCCTTTGAGTCAGATGTGGTCCAAGCTGTGCCCTGGCAGGCTGCTTTGTTGCCCTGCCAACTGATACTCATTCCTGGGCCTTTGATGGGTTGGTGAGCATCTAACAAATTTTAAAACTGAAGATTACCAGCTTGGAGACCTGAACAAATATATAATGAAATGAAGGACCCAAAGGCATTTAATTATTGAACACATACAATGAAGTATATTTTAAAAAATGGTCAGACTGTCCTGTTAGTTATCATTTTAAAGGAATTTACAGGGATGTTATAGATTATTCTTTTGGAATAATTCAGTTTGCAGCAAATGCCTAAACTGGTTTCTTCATTGCACAGTATATTCTCTTTAAATGGGTGCTTAAAACAATTACATACAGATTAAAAATCCGCATTTCTTTGCTTAATTAAAACGTTAATACTCTTAGACAACACAGATCTGAAATGGCGAAACCAGCAATACCCCCTCCCACCTTACAACAAATTAAATTGAGACAAAATTACAAACACATTTCACTACATGATTATTATTAATAAAAATCAGTTTCCTTTTTTTTTCCTGTTTTATAAAGTTGCCCGAAATGCAAGGGATGTGCATAGGTTTACAACTTAGTCATAATAGTAATTTATTCTTATTCCCCTGGGTGTGCCCCATGAACGGAATGTACTTTGCTGTAATTACAGATTGTTTTGTCCAACACAGACACACCGACAGCATAAATGCTCGCGACTGTCCACATGCATTAAGAGTCAAGACCCAACTTCAAATCTCTAAAAGGTTTACAGGGTGCTTCAAAGAGACAGTATCACAGTATCTGGATGTTACATAAAGGACTTAAAAAAAGAGAGAGAAAAAAGGCCTTTAAAAATTTATGACTGTTTTGCAATCACTAGACTAATTATTTCAAATAAATAAAGGAAAGAAAGATACTCCAATCCATAAAATCAGACTCTAAAAAGAATGTAGTGTTCCACCCCCAGTCAAGGTAACAGAATCATTGTTTATTATTATTAAAATAGATTATAGAAAGCAGCATCTATTTTGTGCAGTTTTTAGGGGCCTTGGAAATAAAAAGCTATGATTTCCAAAAATATAACATTCCAAAGGATTGAATAATACATACATTTAAAGATACATTTTATTAAAGTTTAGGAGAACTGATTAAAAAAGATACTGTCTCTTTAAATTAGTGTGTAATTGATTTTCTCCTCCTATCTATTCGGACATGACAATAATTATAAATGTAGGTCACACTACAACTAGGTAGTCTCTAGGGACCATGACCTGCTGACACAAGGTCGATAACAAAGAGGCTTTTCCACATAGGAGGCTGCTCCCAGTTTTGTACTCAGATAGCCACAGAGAAGCCTAATAGACCCAGGAAACTGGGACCCACTGTGGGGCTGTGCACACGAGCTCGACAGCTTCCTCCAGATGTCTGATTGTCTCATCAATTTCGTTGTTGATAATTGTGAGATCGAAGTAGTGTGCATAGGTTCTCTGCAAGACGTCAGACTCCTTCTGGAGGCGCTGAAGGGATTCATCCTGCATAGGGTGGCATAGCGAAGGGGGCAGGTATGGGAAGAAGAGAAAAGCAAATAAAAGAGAGAAGTCAGTTGAAGTCTTTCTCTTTCTACCTTTCAGCTCATTCCAGTGTTACAACAGGTAAAAAACAAAACAATGGTGGGGCAAGAGGCCCAGATGGCTTATGTGACCGAGGAGGAGATGGTCCCTGTCCTGTGATGGCAGGGCTAGAGAACTCCCACTGGCAACGGTGACTGGCAGATATGCCATAGGGTTCTCTGTAAAGAGCAGACAAAGCCAATACTCCAGCAAACACACAGGCCCCACCCAGGCCTAGCCGTTCCTATCCCAGAGCCACCCTGGGGGAGACCACGCAAGGCACAGATAACTAGTGGCTACAGTTTTTTAAAAAAAAAAAATCATTCTTCTAAGCCAGAGCAGACCACAGCTACCTATCTGGTGGGAGTGCTAGTATGGCTGATTTGAACTTTTCTTGGTTTCCTTCCCTTGGGCTTTTAAGTTCTTTGGAGCCTCATGCATTTCTGCTAACAAGCCTTGTCCTTGGGCAACAAATTAAGTTGTGCTTGACCGCCATCTGCTTAAAAGGTTTAGTGTGTTCCAGGAATGCAATGGCACATAAGTTCCCTCATTTGAGAGCAGTCCGCGCCGGATGCAAAGCTTTCTGGATGCTACAAGCAATGGATGGAATAAGGCGCCAGTTCCTAAATACAACAGTAACTGGCCTCTGAAGAATGCCCCCAAGTTGGTCTATACTGGAAATGGTCAGGAAAATGTAGCTGTTTGTGCACATGCTCATGTCTCTTAAGAAGACAGCGCCAAACCTTGAACTCTAAGTAGGCTCACTGTAGGATGACACCCCTGTAACACAGCTGGACTTCAACCATCACAACTCTCTCCCAGGCTGAGCCTACACCAGGGAATCTGGGTTCTTCAGCTTGTCCCATTAATATTGGTTTTGTTTTTTTTTTTTCTTTTGGAGTCAGAGTCTCACTATGTAGCCCAGGCTGGCCTGGAACTTGGAATCCTCCTGTTTTAGCTTCCCAAGTATTAGGATTATAGGCATGTGCCATCACATCCACCTTGAATACTCTAAAGGGCCACCAGAAAGAAGGTCTGTTTCTCTTTTTTCTACAGGTCAATTCTAATTTGAACTTTGTGAGTAAAATGAACTATAAGCTTTCCACCCTTCTTGCCAAACACTAGGTGGTTGTAAACTATTGGTTAGAATCTTACACACACACACATACCCTCCCTGCTCTTGGGAGGAGACAGGGACAGGGTCTTTGTATAGCCTAGGCTAGTCTTAGCCCATATTAATATATGTACATATCTATAACTTTATGTTTCGTTGATTACTATCCCTGTCCTCAACCAGTGCATAAAAACCTGTGTTGTGTGGTCTGCCTTGGCTTTGCTCCAGAGCTAAGCAGGCTGGCCCCCACACAGTATGGGCCTAATAAATGGTATGGAAAGAACAAGTGCTTGACTGATACTGGTCCCTTTAGGATTTTTGTATCAAGTCTACGGGCAAGAGACTAGGTAATTGTACGAGGAAATAGGGATCTGATCTTTGGAGAAAGTAAAAATTGTGATACCCTCAGGGGCCAAGGATTGCTGGGTGCCCAGCCGTGGCTAAGGACCCTCCTTCCTCTTCTCTGAGGGCACAGTTCTCTGGCAAGGGCACGAGTAGGCAGGACATTCTATTCTAGCCCCGTGCAGGGAAAGGCAGAGAGCAGCCAGGAACTCAATGTTCCTTATCTGGGTACTCTGACCAATCCAAGTCGACTGGTTTAGTCACCCTCTACAGGAATTTCAGAGCAGGACATGGCATGCTTTGAATGTCAGTGTGAACTATCCCAGTGGTTGCAAGACCCCAGTCACTGGTCACCTTCTGCACACACTCTGCTTGTACCTGAAAAGCATAGTATTTTCACTGTGGCTCAGTTTCATAAGAAACATCCTCCCCCGCCCCCTTCAGCCCTCCCCCAGATCCAGGAATGCTCCCTACCAGTCCCTGCAGGCACAGTTCTGAGAAGTCAGTCTGTGTGCCGGGGTGGTGGTGAGGGATGGGGTAAGGGTGGGTGAGGGTGGTTGGGGGTTTGGTGGTGGTGTTCTTTGTGCTTTTGGGCCTGGGCCTGGGACGCTGCTAGCAGGTTCCGGTTTGTTTGGAAGACTGGACTGGTGCAAACATTCAAGGAAATTTAGAGCTAGACAGAGTTCTCTTTAGAGCGGAACAAAGCTCCCTTGTGCCTACATCCTCTAAGGTGAGGAGGCTCTGTCAGCTTCTTTTGCAGCAGCTCATCCCCTCTCATGTGATGACGTTTAACTCAGTGAAAACAAAATGCCTTTATTCTAACAGCAAAAGCAAGGATTTATGGGAACAAAATGTCTACATTCTACATCGATTAAAAGACACAGGCCGTATTTCACCACATCCTAGCTGGTACTTACAGGCAATTTTCTGCACCATTTTGGCAGCTATGGAAAATTAGTAAAAGGGCAGGACAACAGGCAAAACAAAAAACAAAAACAAAGCAAAGATGATAATTCAAGAAAAATACATAGTAACCAAGGAAAAATGTTAACCACAATGGGGAGTTTCAAACATGGGAAAATAGAATTTTACAAACGAATATGTCTTTTGCCAATGACATGACAAAGGACAGAGACCAAATAAGCAATAAAGGTCAACCTAAATAGTAAAGGTATACACAACTTCCAAGTCTCGATCTAACTGTACTGAAAGACTGGGTCATTGACCACAGGACACAGTCGTGAGTCTGTTGGTGGGTTCTAGACCCTTTAAAATCATGTTCTTCGGGATAAGTTTATACAGGAATGTCTTCCTGGCTCAGGGTCACAGGAAGCAGATGCGATCACAATGGTCAGCATATGCTGCTACCCTTACCTTCCCAGGAAAAGAGCCTCTGCACGGGCTTGGTGATACCTGGGGCCAGCTCTGGCAATTGCTGACTTGAGTTGGCTTGAAAGCACCCAGACTTTATTCCTTTTGTGGTGCTGGGGATGGCACCGAGGGCCATGTTCATGTTAGGCAAGTGAGGAATGAGGCTCCCTGCTGGGGGGAGCTCATTTCTACCTTTGGTAGTCTCCAGGGGTCTTTGCAAGCAGAGGGAACCTGGACAGCACCATCAAGGTCATGGATCCTGCCAGGGAGGCAGGAGACTAGCTGCCTTGGGGGGCAGACTCTGTTTGGAATACCTCAGTCCTGGGGAACTGAGGGGCTTCCCCGTGTACTTCAGAAGTAGATTTTTTTTTCTTTTTGAGACATGATTTCTCTGAGTAGCCTTGGCTGTCCTGGACTCACTTTGTAGACCAGGCTGGCCTCGAACTCACAGAGATCCTTCTGTGCTAGGATCAAAGTCATGCGCCATCACACCCAGCTCAGAAGTAGTCGTATTGAGTATGGCTGCTCTATTCCCCATCACATCTCCTGGAGCAGACCTCCTGCTGTACTGGGGATGAGGCTGGACTTTATCTAGCGTTTTGATCTCAAAGAAACAGCCTCCCTTGTACTCTGGGAATAAGAGTGACCAGCAAAAGGAAAGAGCAGAGCTTTGCTCAGGTGTCTTCAGTGGAAGGAATACACATTCCTTACCACAGAACATGCCAATCTGGCGAGTTCACGCTTACCTCGTTTAAGCCTGGAGTGATAGTTGGCGCCGCAATGAAGACAACAAATGGAGCAAACTCAGCAGTTCTCAGGACCTTCAGTGCCTGTGTGGAAAAGGAAGAAACTTAGAAGGAGAAATAAGTGAGATAGCATGCAAAGGAGCCTATAAAATGTGATACAACTGCAAAAGTCAAGGCTTTGGCTCAAGTTTTTGGCAAAGTATAATTAAATGTACCAACTTTATAAGTAATGCATATTGCTTTCCTCCTAAAGGGTGGACAACAGCTCGGAAAATAAGAGATGACAAATTGAACCTGGTTGTTATGAATCTCACAACTTATATGTTGGTTAATGTTCATTTAAACCTGGTGATTTGATAGAGCCTGAATTTTAGTTGATGGAAATGCATTCTGGGGAGACTTGGATCTGCAGGCTGGCTTCACACTGATTGGGAACCCACTTTGTCACATATCACACTGCAGTTTGCTAATCAAACAAAGAAAGCAAATCCTGACCACCGTCACCATGTGGGCTGCATTCACAGTTACACAGGCCTTCTGACGAAAGGTCCCCTGTGGGACTCATGGGAGAAAGCCTGGCTATAATAATGAAGTCCTGCCACTAAAACACTGTGTGGCCGTCGCTAATGCCTTGGTCCATGTGGGGACATGGCGTTCAAGTGGAAGGCCCTTTGAGGTTCCTTCTAGCATCTTTCCAAAACGTTGTACACCTGTGCATGTGATTAGCTTGCTTAAATGTGATAAGGTGCTGTGTAGGAACTGACTCTGTGAAGGCTCAGTGTTTCTGTTCCTCCCCTGGGAAGCCACAATATTCTTAGAGGCTATAAATAGCCATACCAGGACAAAGCTGACCACATCCAGATACGTAATCCACACGGGACTGACGTGTGTGTGATTCAGAGACATCAGACGTAAATACTTTGCTGTTCTCTTTTTCATTTTAGTTTTCTTCCCACTGAGACAAGTATATACAGGCTGGCCTCAAACTGGCAACCCTTCTGTATTGACCTGGGGTTACAGGTGTGCGTCACTGTGTGAGACTGCTTGCTGCTCTTTATACAAGAACTAGACATGTCTATTTTGTTACCTATATATTTTGCGTTGTAAATGATGCTTCCTTTTGTGTTCTTTCCGCTGTTTCTTGTATTCCAACCTTAGCCTGGTTTATGGTGCTAGCCCTTAGACTGACTCCCTGCCTCTCGTTTTGGAACTTTTAAATCCATATTCCAACCCACTGCTAGCTGATCTTTCTGAAGTGCAAATTTCACCTTCCCCTCCTAACCCTTTAACAGACCTCGCTTTTGCATTGCAGGGAAAACACATGTTCCTTGGCATAAAGGCTGGGTCCCATGTTTAACTTCTGCCTAGCTCTTTTCCATCTCCTGGGTAGACTGGCCTTACTGAACAACTTCCAGTCCTAGAAAAAGCCCAACTCTTTCCAGCTTCTTGGCCTTTTTGCTTGGAGCTTCCTCTACCTGGGCTTCCGACTCTCCCTTTTTTTTCCCATTGCCCTTTCTGTTTGGATGAATAATCCTTTAGAACCTAGTTTCCGGCATGATCTCATATAGACAAGAATGACTTCATATTTCTGATCCTCCTGCTTCCACGTCCTGAGTTGCTGGGATTACAGACATGCCCAGTTTTATGCAGTGGTGGGGGATGAGTCTGGGCTTCATGCTCACTGGGCATGCATTCTATCGCCTGAGTTGGACCCTAAGGTCCTGGTCCTCTTGTGCTGCTGATAGCACACTTGGCAGTTTCTCTGAGAAGTTCACTGTTCTCTGAGGTCCTGCTGTGTGCTGCTGAAGTACCCATCAATCAAACTGGAAGCACATTGAGGGCAGAGGCTGGGTGTGGTGCAGTTGCTTCTCTTATATTCAATATGGTATACCATAGACTGCCTTTTATGATTCGGTAAGAATGTAAAAAAACAGTAAACCTAAAATGTACAACACTTATCCTGGCCTTTGAAGAGGTCTAACCAGAGAGCTGCTGTCCTCTTGGCATCTAAAGTACACAGAAGTCTAAGATCTAATTTGATATTAAAGGTTTTCACTTGTGAGTATAAGCCCAGCCTGCACTAGGATTCTAGTTCTAGATTTTAGTCACATGTCTTTGGGTAGGTGAGGGGAACCTGATTCACTGTCTTATCTCCCTAAAGCTCTTCACTCGTCAAGCCACAGGCCCAGAGTTCTGTCCTAAGAATGCGTTCCAAGCCTGCCCATATTCACTTTTGATGGAGGGAGCTGCCCATTTCTTTGTTGTATCTGTTGTGACTGAGCACATGACTCAAGTAAGCCTAACTAGGGTCCTCACTCAGAAATGTCCACTTTGTCAGTATTATCTCCGGTAGTCATTTCTTCCTTCCTATGCCCTGGCAGCAGAAAGAATACAACGTCAGGCCGGATATAAGGCTTTCTCATTATCTCCACTGGATTCTCTCTCTCTCTCAACTAAAATCTAAAATATGGAAACACCCTAGTCGCTTTTCTCCCTGAGGTAGCTGAGTGCCAGTTTGAACAGCCCATATGAGTGGAACTCAGAGGATGACAATGATTCCCAGGTGGACGATGGTTTTCTTCTTCTTAGTCACCCACACTGCTACCAACCCCAATTGTGAGCACTTTTTAATTTCTAGCCTGCCAACATGCTACTGCATGAACAAACTCATTCCCTGGAAAGCAGCAATCTCACTCCCAGTGGCTTAGCCATAGATGCACTGTGTGCTGCCCTAAGTCTACACCCAACTTTTAACTCCGTCAAAGTCCCAAGGGAGGCCATGTCTATCACATCACCAGGGGTTTCTTAGCTCTAGGCCCTGTCCCCCCATGACAGAAAATTTAGGGCCAAAGTCAATGCTTATCACAATAAGTACAGTCCTGCGGTTTGCATTTTTGTTCCCCTGTCTTTTTCATATTTTTTATTTCAGCCTTATGTTATTGCATTTTCCAAAATTCCAATGTGCTCAAATCCCAGCTGTGATTTTGTTGTCTTGTTAGGCCTCAATTTCAGCATTAGCACACATCTTTGTTTCCAACCATCCCTATCCTTGTATCCTGTTCTAGTTAGGTTTCTCAAGCAGGTACTGTTTTAGGTCCCGGCTCTGCTTGGCTGGTTTTCCAAGTTGTTTCAGGGTCAGGAAATGGAACTGCTCATAAGGATGCCCCTCCCTCAGGTGGTTAACTTCAGAGTTAAAGATGAACTCTAAACCTCTGATTTAAGGTGAGATACAAATTTGTTAATAGTCACAGGTAAATCTCTCTTTCTGCGTGTGAGGAGAGGAAGAAAGAGAGAGAGAAGAAAGAGGAGGGAATGGAGGAAGGAAGGGAAAGAGGTAAGGAGGGAAAGTTAAGGGAGGGAGGGAGGGAGAGAGACAGAGACATAGACAGAGAGAAAACATACTATAGAAAAACTACTGGAAACATACTGGATTCAAATAGTCACTACATTCACACTAGATTAAAAACGTATCATTCATTTATGAAAAAGGTAACTCACGGAGATAAATTCAATTTTTTTTTTTTGTAGTTCATCTACGTATGGCCAAGAATTAATCTCAGGTTATCAAGGCACAGAACAAGAACCCATTTCACCTAAGGACCTAAGATAAGGTCTCATTTAGACTAATGTTTGCAAAGTTACAAAGTATTCAGGGCAAGCAGCCTAGTTACTTTTGTACACAAATGCAAGGGCTTTAGGAAGAGCACAGTGACCTCACTGTGCTAACCAGAAAACAGAATGACCCCTAGGGTCTCCCTGCATGCTAAGCAGTGCCCCTACCACTGAGCTAGGTCCTCAACCTCTGCTCTTGTTTTTAAGTTTAGATTCTTACTCATTTTGGGATTCATCTCTGGATGACAATTTTTCTCCCTTTGGGCAAAGGCAAAGCTACAAATAATCTGCTATTAATTTGTTTTGACCTTGGATCTGGCCTTGAATTTATCATCCTCCTGCCTCAGCCTCCTGAGCATTGGGATTAACAGGCATGCACAGCCACGCCCAGAAGCTAGTATTCACTTGGTAATGCTTCTGACTGGTAAATCAGAATGCAATTCAAGTTAAAAACCACAATATGAAGTTCCCATTACTTACTCCATTTATTATTGTACAGTTTCTGCTTTACTGATATGGATTACTTCCTTGACTTATAGTTTTATTTCTACAAGAAATGAGCTTTATGGTATTTTTTTTTCAGGTGCCATTAACATCAAGACTTCTCTACATGCTAAAAGATCAAGGTTTAAACTGTAGTATAATACACCAGGCAGGAGACCTAGAGGGTACCTCACTCACGATGGCACAAAAGGTTGGGATTTATCATAAAAAAGTAAGAAACCCGACACAGTTCAAACCTCACTTTCTACTGGCTGGAAAACATCGATTGATCACCATTACCTCAAGCTTGTTTTTCCTCATCAATGACAGAAGATACTGATAGAGTTCCTTAAGGGTACTGGGACTGGCAATATAGGAATACAAATTGTTGCTAATTTGAAAGTAGCCAGCTTATTAGTTCATTTTTTTTTTCTAGCTTAGTGTCACTGCCATGGTCTTTTAGGTTTGAAGTTAGATCACTACACCTTATCATTTAGGCTTGGTGCTTAAATTTAGCCTCAATTGTCTGAAATAAATCAAGATGGCAGAGAGCATTAGACATGTCCTAAGTGACATGAGCCTCAGGGTTAGGTGGTCATACATTGGGCCACCTATGGGAGAAGGGGCTTCAGCTGAAGTAGATGTTGAGCAGATTAAAACAAGAAAAGCTGGCCTGGAGAGATTGCTCAGAGGTTAAGAGCACTGGCTGCTCTTCCAGAGGTCCAGAGTTCAATTCCCAGCAGCCACATGGTGGCTCACAACCATCTATCTTGAGATCTGGTGCCCTCTTCTGGCGTGCAGGTGTACATTCAGGCAGACACTGTATACATAATAAATAAATAAAATTTAAAAAAAAAAAAAACAAGAAAAACTAAAGACACTTTTACTCCTTTGGAAAGCATCTGAGGCAAATGCAGGAAGAACTTTTATCCTCCCCAGCTTGTCTTCTTAAATGCATTTTTAGCTCTAGGCGCATAGCCTGGCATATTAATGGTTAGTACAAAGGTGTTAAATCAGACTATCGGAGATCCAGTAGAGGCCTCAATCTAACCAGCTAGGGTGGGTAAGGGGCATGGAGGAAAATGTTCTAAGAACAAGGCCCTGCCTGGAAGTAAGTCACTCACAGCCACAGACACCCTGAAAGCAGGGTGAGGGAGCTCCTCACCCCTGGAGAGAGTGGGTTGAGGGCAGGGAGGCCCAGCGAGGCCCAGCGAGGCCCTGTGAGTATGGCCTCCATGGGTATCCCAGGTTGTATTGCCACACATAGCATGCACCTAGGAGTATAGACTGGGCAGGAAAGCCTGGGACCAGAGTGGTCAACCAGTCCATTAGAGGGGCCAGACGACTCTTGGCCATCCTTGTCCCTAGGAGCACAGCCCCATATGGCTAAGGCAGAGGCCAGGGTGCCTAGGGCCCACCCTCGGGGGCCAGTAGAACTGAGAGATCACAGTTGTGAGAGGAAAAGAAACAGGAAGCAGGAGAGGAGTGCAGGTGAGCTCATCCAGCAGTCAGGGCAGCAGGGGCCAGTGTGCCCTGCAGGAAAAATTCCCGGGCCAAGTGCAATGGAGAAAGGATCTGCTGTGGATGTTCTGATGAGGCTGAGAGATGGGTCTCCCGCTCAGCAGTGCAGAGCAGTGCATGGCTGTGCAAGGGCCAGGGGATAGGGAGAGCTGGGTGCTATAAGTGGAGCAGCAGCGGCAGCAGCGGTGGTGGTGGTGGTGGTGGTGGTGGCGGCGGCGGTCGCAGGGGCAGCAGCAGCAGGGAAGGCAGAAAGCCCTTGGAAGTGGCCTGAGGTAATGCAGAGGGATCTGAGGAGCCCTGCAGCCAGCATACTGCTAGAGACATTACTACCAGCAGAAAACGACGTTCAGGTGAAGACCAGTGTGGAACCCAAGGAGAGGATGTCGAAGACCAGGACCAGGATTGAGACTTTGCCTCTAGCCACCCCTGGCCAGAAGATTTTTCCAATCCCTAGTAAGGAGGGATTAGTAGTTAAACAAAGATCAATCTGCATTACACATCATCATATTTAGTTCTATATAGGTCCAAGTTAACTATTAAGTAAACCACAGTGGTTACCTATTGTTGTACTCCTCCCTAGCCCCTAACCAGATCCTATTGTGATTTCCAAAGTTCTGAGTACAAGAACCCCACCTGGTGCTATAATGGAAATGGATGAACCTGTTGGTCATAGGTTAGAATCTTGGATCCTAGAAACTGAGCCACCAGGGCCCAGATCACATAAACTGGTTTAGCATTTAGGGATGATTATGAGACCAAGTCTCATACAGTGGCCTCTCAACAGAGATTTTCACTGCCCGGGACAGGCACATAAGCTGAAGCAGAGCCTCCTCAACCAGGGGCAATTCTCCACATCTCATCAGATGGTGCACCCATTCTAATCTAAGTGATGAAAGGTGTTGGGTATAGATCCATCTTAGAAATGGCAGATGTGAGTCACTAAGAGCCCCCATCAGCCTGTCCTGTAACCTCCTCTGATGTCTGTCAGTCACAAGTTCTTTTCCTTGTGCTTTAAGCCCCATTTCTACTTGGCTTATGCTCGGGCATGAACATTTAGCTTGTCAGCATTCCTGTTTTGCTTGTTCACGCTAAGCTTGTGCCCATCCTCCCGCCAAGCTATGATGATGCCAACCCTTGTGTGAAGTCTCCAGGTTTCTTTCTCAAGTTCCTTCATTGCTCTTGCTTCCTACATATGACTTCGCTAGAAATCATTAAAACAGCCATTTTTGTATCTAGCTCCTTTTTGAGTCTTCTCCAAGTTCTTCATTTCTCTCTTCGGGAAAGGTGAGAGCAGAGGCTGAGGGCCACCTGGGCTCTTACTCCCTGCTCCCGCTAACACTGGGCTCACCAGCACTTGTTTCATTGAGCTCTGGCTCTTTCACACCTAGACCTCGGGATCAGTTTTTTCAAAAGGGAGCAACGTGAGTTACTGGCAGATGGTCTAATGGCCCAGCGTGGGCTATACTGGCAGAGCGGAGGTGGGGTGCTGTGATAACTGCCAGAGGCCCATCCTGAGGTCAGGTAAGTGTAGGATTCCTGGCAGGCACGGAACCCAAATGGGCACTTCACCGAGCTTCTGAATATAAGCTTCAGAAGACAATGATTTGCTTCTTCAATGCATGTTGTGTATGCTGAGTTCAGTGACAGGTCAGTTTGCATCCTAGGCTGTTGAGCCAGGCAGTCCTGAGTACTCAAACTTTCCTGTGGCTTTGAGGATTATTTCTGTGACCTGACCCTTTCTGATGGGATTTTGTATTTCAGAATCTGAGCTTATCAGCATGCAGGGAAGCTGAAGTGTATTCAGGGTGGCTTGGACATTACCTGAGGCTCCACGTCCAGTATTGCAATCAGCCCCTGCTCATGGATTTTCCGAATGGTCTCCAGTTTTGTTCCGTACATTGCATCCTCATGGCTACCATACTCCAAGTATTCATTATTTGAGATGTCTTGCATCATTTGGTCATGAGATACAAAGTAATAATTCTTGCCATTTTCTTCATCTTTCTTTGGAGGTCTGGTTGTATCTGCAAAGTTCCATACATGAAAGGTTTAAATGTTTGGAGTGATGAGTTATATTCCCAATGTATCTACTCAATCACCCTGTGTGTGTGCATGTGTGTGTTGGGGTCTAGGCTTCTGTGTATGCTAGGCAAGCACTCTACCAACTGAGTTCTGTAAACTTAGCTCCTCAACTGCTTCTTAAGAGCTGTGAAGCCATAGCTTAATGACAGCATACAGTTACAATGCCATTACTTGAGAGGTGGCAACAGAAGATTACAAGCTCAAGGCCAGCCTGGGACACAAGAGACCTTGACTCAAAAGGGAAAAAAAGCTGTTGTTTCTTTAGAGTGTCTTATAGCCTCTGTTCCCATCTCCAGTTCTGTTGCAGAAGCAATTTAAAAATCACATTTGTCTGTATATAGCAGACACAGCTGTTTCTTTCTTGTTGTTAGGTGAATATTTCAGTGTTGTGAGATGTATTTCATGCCCCCTTAGTAGGAAAGACATGAAGTGACTGTGGTATTTTGAATAAAAAATAGCCCTGATATGACTTAGGTATTTGAATACTTGGTGCCCTGTTGGTGGAACAGTTTGGGGAGGTTGAGTCACTTAGGACGGGCTTGGAGAGTTGCCCCACTTTCAGTTTGCACTCTCTGCTTTGTGTTTGAGGCTAGAAATGTGATCTCTCAGCTTCATTCTCCTGCTGCTATGCCTACCCTGCTATGATATACTCTTCTCCCTCTGGAACTGTAAGTTACCCTGGTCACAGTATTTTATTACAACAACAGAAATATCACTTTATAGGGAGGCTCATGATTAACACAACCCACTCTCCGTTAGCTTACTTGGGTCCCACGTAGAAGAAGGAAAGAAGAAAAGAATGGAAAACTACATGGGGCTGTTTATATTTAAACGAATGACAATGAAATGGTTCAGTTTCTTAGTCTCACTTGAGACATTTCAATGGCTGAACAGCCACAAAGGACTATTCTATTGGACAGTTCAGGCATTGAATGTTAGAATATAGCAGAAGGCACACACCATACTGAAAACACAATAAACTTAAAGAAGTATGGCTATGATTGTCATTGAAAAACTAAAACAAAGGATGAGGTGAGGAAGCTGTGAACTGGTTTATAGGCCAAAGAGTCCATCAGAAGTGTTTCGTTTTTGTTTTTCATTTTTGAGACAAGGTTTGACTTTGTATCCCTGGCCACCCTAGTACTTGGCATGTTGCCCTGGCTGGACTCGAATCTGTAGCACTCCTTCTGTTTTATCCACCCAAGTGCTGGATTACAGGTGTGCACCATTGTGGCTGCTTTGCTTTCAGATTTTATTTTTGAGATTTGTTTTTATTTTATGCCCACGTGTGTGCCTAGTGTCTGCAGAGGTGAGATGAGGGCATTAGATTGCCTGGGACTGGAGTGATAGACTACTGTGAGCTGACATGTGGGTGCTGGGAACCAAACCTGGTTCCTCCACTAGAGCAGCAAGTGCTCTTATTTGCTGAGCCAGCCCTCCAGCCCCTGCCTTAAAGTTGTATTGAGGTATAGTCATGCATAGTTGTTGATAGTTTGTTTAGGGCTATTTTCATTTTACACTGGCAGAGATGAGTAGTTGTAACAGTTGTAGCCTTCAAATACTAAAAAAAAAAAGGGTTTGTCACCTTCCAAGTTAGTGTATACTAAAGTACATGCCAATATGCAGAATATAACTTTAGCAAGTATTTTGCTAGTGTAACTCAGGAAACTGGTGCTATGGTTTAGAAACAAAATGTCCTACCTAAAGGTACACATGTTGGAAGACTTGGTTCCCAGTTGGTAGATGCAATCATTGAATAGTTACTGGATCAAGAGGGCTTTGACTGAATCGATGGATTGATCTACTCATGGATTTATAATTGGGTGGCATTAGTGGGGGTATGACAATATTTGGAGGTAGGATCTAGTTGGAGGAAGTAGTTCATTACTGAGGAGAATGCCTTTGGGCACTATATCCTATCCTGGTTTCTCTGTTTCCTGGCTCTCATGAGGTAAGTATCTTTGCTTTGCTATAGCTTTTGCTATCATGGTGTTCTGTCTCATTACAGGCCCACAGCAATGGAGCAGGCAAGCCACCCATGAACTGAACTGACATCTCTGAACCGTGAGCCCAAATCACACTGTTCCTTTTAAATTGTTCTTTCACATATTTATCACATCAGCAAAGTCTAACATAATTGGACACACACACACACACACACACACATACACACACACACACTTTCTGTCTTTTCTCCCCCTTTTCCCTCCCTGCTTTTGTTCTCTCATCTTTTAACTACCTCTCTTCTATACTGGTTCCTTGAATAGAGACAAATGTATGCTACTCTTTGCTGAATACATGAGACAAAGCAAACTTAAAAACAATGCTTCCTCCAGTTCCATCAAAAGCTGAAGTTGGCACTCCTAATCTTCAGTTATCTCAGGTAATTGTACAGTACACACATATCTGGGGTCAAATACTGAAATATTTAATAGATCAGACACAGTTGATGTCATCAGAAGTAAGCCTTAAACCTAAGCTAGTTAACTAGATATTTAATAACCAGGAGGTACAACTGCTATGTGATCAAGATGAAACGAAACTTTCCCCATACCCACTCTACTCATGATACAGACATGAGAAATGAAAGAACATTTCCGAATGAGCAGAGAATCGCAGTGGCACCAATGGCACTGCTTGATAAGCTTTTCTCACGCTAATTCATGGACTTCTGAAGGCCTCTGGCTCACTGAGGTGTACACTGACCTTCCTTCTGAGCACCTTGAAAGGAGAAACTGGTTCTGACATTTTTGTTTGTTGCTCTTTTTTGGTTTGATTTTTTTTTTTTTTTGAGGCATGGTCTTGAAATGTAGCCCTGGCTGCCCTCGAACTTGCAGGGGTTCTGTTGTCCCTGTCTCTTGAGTGCTAGATTATAGGTATGTGCACCATCCCTGGTTACTTCTGTAGTTCTAGAATCATCCTTTATTTGCTCTGAACCAACACCTAACCTCTGGATGGTTTTCGGTATTGAAATGTTACCCTTTAAATAAGGATGTGAACATTCTTATAATAAATGATAGGTCAGATAGCTATGACGAGCCACCGCATGCTTCATACACATACCCTTGAACTCTTTTTATAACCATACAATTATTTCATCTCATAGTCGAGGAAATAAAACAGAGCAAGAGGTTGATAATATAAAATAGACAAGTTAGGGGAACTGAAAAATATTGCAGATTTCGATTCCTTATACTAAATAACAGACAGTACATGGACTGGGTTTTAGAGGTGATAAGAAGTCAATAATGTAGATAATGACTGGAGGAAATGTGGTTGTAAAGAGATAATTATAAAACAATTAAGGCTTATTTTTTAAAGAACATTAATCTAGATAATGTTTATGACATACTGTTGGAAAAAATAGGTTACAAATGGAATGGATAAGACTAATGCTGCAACTCTTCACAGTTCTTATGTTTATATCAAGAGAAGCCTGGAGGGAGTTACAGTGAATACTTATGGTTCTTATTATTTGGAAAATAAGTTTGGAATTACTTAATTTTCTTCATTGATTTTGTTTTGGATTTTACAAATTTCCTAGCAAACAGTTATCTATATTATTAGAATATGCACATTACAATGATAAGAATGTGATAGGAAAAAAAAAGAATTCAAAGAGATTGATCCGTTGCTTACGTGGAATGGGGTATGCAAACCGGTCCGGGTGCTTTGTGATGAGGGTGTTTTTTATGTGTCTTCTCCCAACACCATGTGCGCCTATGTGATTTTTGAAAAGAATGGTAAAATTAACAACTAGTAATTACATTCATAGAACAGTTTGGAGGTAAGAATGAGCACACAGCTAAACTTACCTAATAAGACTAATGTTTTCCTTTTGAATGCTGGCAGTTTGACTACTTCTTCATATGTGACAAGGTCTAATTGATCAAACACTAAAATGCAAAAATTTAGAAGAAAGGTAAGTTCATGGAATGGATATCTCATGGAGGTGAACTATAATTTTATTGGAAAAACTAAGTTACAGTGATACCATGAATCCCGCTTTTGATATGCAGCTTATATGTGATTTAATTTATACTGAAAGTTTCATTTTTAAGCCCATGAAAATGCACTGGAGAACCAAGAACAACCAAAGAGATGATGAGTACATGCATCAAAGTTCAATGCTAGAGGATGCCACATTATTTTTTTTTTTTCATGCAGTATTCTAACAAATCATTTGAATTCACTCAGAACCACATGCTGTTCACATTTTCACAATTCTAAGAAATCAGCAATACTGAAAAGAAAAGTCTATGGGCAGCAATCAACACAAGTAGAGCATGGGTGTGACTGAAGTCAAGCTAGTGAGGGCCAGCTGCTGCACTTCCAGAGATGGGTGAGAAATGCAAGGTCACTCAGTGTTTATTTACTGTTATTGCTCTTTTATTACTTCTTAAGAATTGATGAAGGCGGCATGTTAAACTCGGTCAAAGCCAAGTTATTGAAGGATTTTTATAAGCTTTTAGTTGAACGTTTCACAAACTTTACTACAACTCAGGTCTTGGGATTTTAAGCAGGGAAGCATGCATTCCTGGCCCAGAAAACATGTCAGCCATGAATTATATAGGAAGCTATGTCATAAATTAGGGTAAACAGGATGGAAATAATCATGGAGAGTCTAAGCATAGAAACCTTTGGGAAAGGCAGTATAGACAGAGAAATACTTTTAAAAAATGGTTCTGGAAACCCTCTTCTCAGCAATACTATGATGAGGACAATTTCAAGCAATATGGGAAAGTTATCATAGTGAATGGTCATCTGAAAATTCTCCTAAGACTGAAATTGTATATATGCATTTCCTGTAATGCACCCCCCTTCCCAGTACACAAGGAAGTTTCTTCTTAAAATGTTGAATTCTCCCAGGATTTCAGAGGAGGTGAAATAATTCAGTGAAGTGGATTCCATGGTTGAATCATGCAGAGAGCTTCTGCTCCCTGAAACAATATGGTCAAGGGATCTTGAGAATCAGCTCAGTCCTTAACACTTCAAATACAATGCACGGTTTTTGCATAGTAGCAGAAAACCTTATGATTCAAAATAAGATATCATGGAATAAAATAGATCACAAATACATAAACGAACAAAAAGCATCATTCTCAAAATATATGAATAAAGGAATGTAATATATTAAAATAAGGGTCAGTGCATATTAATGGGTCTTTTTGCATTTCTTTTGATAACATGATTCTATAAAGGTTGAGAAAAAAATCTTTAGACAATATTCTCTAGCAATAGCTTATGTTGGAGAAACATTTGCAGAATGGCCTAGTCACAAAATTAAAATGAACATGAGACTCCCTGTGGTAGAGGTAGCTCGCTGTGCTGCAGTGGTAATGGAATGATGAGAATTGCAGAAATAAAACCAAGAGTGCTTATGGCATTGCTTTCTGTACCTACTGCCTTGAATAATATGTCCATCAAGGAAAAGTGTGCTTATGGGAAGAAGTGCATCAGCAAACTGATGTGTTTTAAACTATTAAAACCATTAAGTGCTTTATGAAAGAGCAAGATGATGATGACACAAAAGTTTTTGAAAGGTAGGTATATCCCTCTCCCTCTACAGAGCTCTAACTTGAGTCTTGCTTATTTATGTCTTTGTCATTTCCTTCCTTCCTTCCTTCCTCCCTTCCTTCCTTCCTTCCTTCCTTCCTTCCTTCCTTCCTTCCTTCCTTCCTTCCTTCCTTCCTTTCTTTCTTTCTTTCTTTCTTTCTTTCTTTCTTTCTTTCTTTCTTTCTTTCTTTCTTTCTTTCTTTCTTTCTTTCTTTCTTTCTTTCTTTCTTTCAAGACAGGGCTTCTCTGTGTAGCCTTGGCTATCCTGGACTCACTTCTGTAGACCAGGCTGGCCTCTACCTCACAGTGATCTGCCTGCTTCTGCCTCCCTGAGTGCTGGGATTAAAGGTGTGCATCGCCATGCCCAGTTATTTTCTAAAAGTATATGAGTTAGGGATTAACAATCAACACATCACAAGTAAATGAACAGATAGGTTAAACATTAGACTCTGAACCATGAATGAGTAGCATGAAAAGGTTACTCTGGTTGAAATAAAATTGCCACATAGTCATAGGGTTGCAAAAAACAAAATAAAACAGGATATTTGGAAACAAAGGACACAAGGAATATTAGAAGAGCACTTATAGACTGAACTTTTAAAGGGTTTAAATTGCTTGCTGATTAAAGAAAAATGACTTACATGAAATCATGAAAAACACAGAGGCATAGTCATTCAACAGGTTACTTACATGCACAGAGGCCATTGGGAGTGAGACAGCATGAAAAATGTACAGGGGTCATTGAAATATGACTTCTTATATATTAGTAAAATAAAAGTCTAATAGGCACAAAATAAACTTTATCATGCAATATTTTAAACACAAGGTAAATAAAACCACAGTAAGAAACAAACTCATTTTAATACAAATTCAATCATACCCTTATATATAAAAGCCAGTGGATTTTATATGCTAGCATGTATGTGGAAATTTTATGTGGGAATGATAAGAAATTAGAGAGCATAAATGTCGGGGCCTTTCACTTTTTACTTTGTGCATTACTATGCCATCTGCAATTTCTAATTCTGTGTGCTTATTAGCTTATTATTATATTTTAGGTGCAGGAGATCAAACCCAGAGCCTTGCATATGCTAATAAAGTACCTCCATCACCAAGCTATACCTCCAGCCCTACTTTTAATATTAAAAACCCCTCAATGTCAGTGAGGCCATTTATGCCACTTTTCTTCAGGACAGTTTACAGTATTCAGTATAATTGAAACATAACTATGAATATTATTCCAGAAATCCTTTAGGTTTATGTACCCACATAAGCAGTATTTTCAGGACACTAAATAACAATGTTCTGATGTCTCAGGTTAAAAAAATAAATACAGACTTTGTAATTTGTTTAAAAAAGTTAAAGTCATTAATATGAACTAAAAGTAGCTTGTTGGAGTCTTGGGCTGAGAAAGCTGGTTGCCTCCAGAGTACAGGTCCGGCAGATGACAGTGCTGTTTGCATCAGATCACTAAAGGTCTCACGAGTTAGTAAAACTCATTTCGTGTAAATACACATACCATACCATAATCTAATTTATTCCCAAGAATTCAGCAATATTGCCTCACATATTTTGTTTGAATTTCTTTGGTAAGCTACTTAAAATTCCAGGCACTTAAATATTAAAGCAACTATACTGGAAAAATGGCAAGCTGTTAACAATGAATCCTTGCCTCCATTTGAAAGGCTGTAAGTAGCTTCAAGTATTATGTGCACACCCACCCACACACACACAAAACCCAAAAGACAAAACAAACACCCACCCCAAACCCACCAACCAACCAACCAACCAACCAACCAACCAAACAAACAAACAAAAAACTCCAGTTGAGAATGAATTTCAGCTAGTAGCATTAGCTCAGAGCATATCTTGCCTATCTACAGTGGCCAGACAGTGAATGTGGTTGAGTGAAGGAAGATCAGGCAAAAGAGCAGTATGCGGGTATGCGGGGATACTAGGGAATGAAATGTCCCTTCCAAAAGGAACATCAGCAAGCGACACTCCCCAAGCAAGAAAGTGGCTTGGTGATGCTGCATTCACTATTTTGCCACGGGGTGTGGAAAACCCCAAGTTTTATGTTACATAACCTTATTTTCAAATGTGGTATCATGGAATTATTTAAATACTGTATATGAATAAAATTTATTTATGCCGCTGTATTTTGTAGGCTGCATAGTTTGAGAAGAATCCATCTTTAACTAGATGTGGGGATTTTTCTGGTGACAAAAAGAATGGATTTGGATGTTATGATTTCTATTCTTGGTGTTGTTGACTAAGTCTCAACCCTTTATTTTACTTGAAGATACAGGTAATTTTCAACTTTGATGATAATATTTAGAGCATGACATCAACGATATATGATGAATTTCAAAGGCTTGGAACAGGTAACAAAACCTATAACATTATTTTGAATTATTGTACACCACAGGAAGAACGGAGTTGTTGTATTTTATAGTCAGTTGCTGAAAGAAATCCTTGAGAAATAGAGTTTGATCTGTGAGCATCTGGCTAGTTGTTGGTGTGAAAGAATACACTATTTCCAGGTTGTCACAGGATCTGCCTTACTTAGATGGAGGCTAACAGTATTTTACAGCAATTCTTTATAAATAATTCATGAGGGACTCTCATCCTAGCTAAAGCAGACATCTGTCTGCTAACAGCCTGGTCTCTTGTAAAGCCATGATAAGCAATGGGCTTTTCTGGACTTTAGGATAAACAAGATGGAGGTGTTCATCAATAAAGCAGAGGAATGCTGAAGAGATGGTGACAGAAAAGGATGCTAGGCTTAGTTACACAAGCATATTGCAGTCAGGCCAGGATAGAAGCTGGCCACCCTCTCCTGAGAGAGAAATTAAGGAGAGCTCATGACTCTGCAGGGGAAGGAACCCTAGCAGCAGTATTCTGACCGGAGACTCACAGACAAGCAGTAACACAAAGGTTTAGAAAGAAATGTAAATGACTATGTCAAGTCCTTCCTTCCAAGGTTCTCAGACTCCTTTGAAGTCAGCCAGATAAACATGGATAGGCAGGCAATTCCTCAAGCATGACAAGGTCTGCTTGGATGCCCAGAACAGGTCAATGATTAGGAAAACACTAAGGGCAACAAAAAAAGTGGCAGCCCTCTGTCCCCTATGCAACTAAGATTATTTTTCCTCACTTTGAGTTTATGAGAAGTTAGGCACACAGTTTGAGATAGGGGATGTCAGGCCAAAGGATGGAGAAGAAAACAACTGCATCCCATTGTCTAAATCAAAGACACATACTTTTCAACCTGGACGGGCAATGTTTCTACGAGAGATACAGCCTGAGACACAGGGTGCTGCAAGATTACTCAATCTACCACAAGGGTACCTGTTTGCCAGACTGAGTGATGAAAGAACCCTAGACCCACTGAGGTTTCCCATTAGAAAGGACCACCTTGACTGGCTGATCTGATTGCTTGGTGTGAAGGCCCCACCAAGCGAAGTGACCAGCTTGTATACTTCTTTGAGCGGACTAATGATCCTGTCTCAGGCTGCCCATTAGGCTGATGGTCACATTTGCAGGAAGAGTGTACACTGCACACCAGGAATCCAAATGGGTGTTGATAGAGGAAGCACAGTGATGCCCCAGTGCTTCCAGGAACAGAAAATGTGAAGCAGGAAATGAAAATGACTTGATGTCAGATTGGATTCTGATTCTCTAGCAAGATTCTTCAACAAATGATTTGACTAAGTCTTTGTCAACAGTTGAAGAGGTGGAGTTTTCTGATCAATTCACTTAGTTACCATCAGAGCTGGGTTAAAGAGTATTGGCAAATTGAATACTGATGCCTATATGCCTTCCAATTAGTGGAGTCTAAAACTGAAGGCAGATTAGCAGATTTACCCAGCTATTTCTTTGCTTTTCTAGGTTAAATTAATTTAACTGTCATCAGTATTTATGTATTGTTTAACACTATGCAAATGACAAATTGAGCTCTGTAATTTTCTCTTTCATTTTGATGCTGGGGACGGAGCCCAGGGCCTCGCACATGCTAGGCAAGCGCTTTGCCGCTGAGATCCATCGCTGCTAATTAATTTTTTGTATTTAACTAATGTGATTTAGATGTAGCTAACCTCCCTGTGAGCTGGATCCATTGTGCTAGACTGGTGGAAACAGACAGGAGAAGAGAAGGCAACTAAGGAGACTTGGCAATAAGTGCTGACGTCTCAGGCTAAGCTACCTTCTGCTGATGCTGTGCAGTTTTTCAAACAGTGGCCTTGAACATAGTGGTTGATAAAGTCTGTTCAGATACTTGGCCTTAAATATTTCTTTCCTTTATAAAACCAAAACAAAAGTGCGTTTAGTGCACTGAGGTAGTGTATAAGAGACAAACTATGCTTTTAATTGGGAATAAGAGTGTGCATAGTGTAACTAGTAGGAAGGGAAAGAGCCCTCATTTAACTGGCCATTTCAACTTAATATATGATGTGGACATTCACATTCTTTCTGGATTATACAGCATTTCATAAATACTTACATTCAATTTCTGAGTGAGAAATGATAATTCAGAAGTCCTAAATAATTTTTCCTCGTAAACGCTGATACATGCTAGAACACCGCATAGAGAAAGCTGCATAACAGAGTTCTCAGGAGCACACTGAATTGCATAGGGATGACTAGAATCACTTTATTTTGGGGGGCCACATGTTTGATATTTTGAAGTTATTTCTGAAAGATTACGAACTAATCTAATACCAATTTTTAACTTCTCAGGAAAAATCCTTGATTGAAGGAGTTACATAGAAAAGTCCATATATTCCAAGTGGGTTCCCTAGTAAGGGGTACAGGGGCTGTCTCTGATATGAACCCAGTGCCTGGGTCTTTGATCATCTTCCCCTGGGGGTGTGTGTGTACAGCCTTGCCAGGCCACAGAGGAAGATGATGCAGCCAGCCTTGATGAGACCTGATAAGCTAGGGTCAGATGGAAGGGGACGAGGACCTCCCCTATCAGGGGGCTTGGGGAGAGGCATAGGTGGAGAAGACGGAGGATGGGTGGGACTGGGAGGAGACAAGGGAGGGGGCTGCAGCGGGGATACAAAGTGGATGAATTGTAACAAATAAATATATAAATAAAATTAAATTAAGAAAAGAAAAGTCCCTATTTTCTTTAAGCTTAAATGACATCCTGTGAGTCTTTTGGAAATTCAAGTGCAGTAAAAGAATATGCTTTCTTGGTATGCATTTCAGTTTTTAACATAACAGTGAACCCCATGATTCGGTTAAACCCCAGCTTCCATACAAACAACAGGAATGGAAGACATAGATAATGAGGGCCTAGATATCTTTGTATTTTTATGAACCTGAAAATACAATGGGGGAAGGCGAATAGTCACAGAAACTGGCTAACCCAAGTTAGTATCCATGTCATCCGTGCCCTTTCAGTTCAGTTATGCTACAGAGCCCTCTGTAGCATAGCCTTTCTTTGTACCTTTGTCCTTAATATCTGTCATGGGTCCATAGCTAAGGACCAAGAGGAACTAGGAGGGAAGGTCATCCTTTCAAGGCCAGTCTCAGCCAGAGAGGAGGGAACCCCAGGGATTCAGTACACTCCCAAGCATTTGTTTTTCAAGGGAGGACTGAGAATGTTGAGTTCCTTTCACCACAGAGGATACTACCTCCAAATAGAACCTCTGTCCTATAAAGTAGAGTTCTGCAAAATAACTTGTTCTTAACGCATCTGCAAGTTGGCCAGTGTCTCATAGAATACAATGTTCTGGAAAGAGAACTCTGAAGAGCAAATGTAAATACCGTATCTACTTAGGTCTTGGAGATATTTGACCCAGCCTCAGAAACAGACATGCTTTTCCTACCTGCATTGTGCTTTGCCAAATATTTATCTTTGTACTGCTTCTTTTTCTTGCCAAACCATGTACAGCTGGCCTGCTGCTCTTGTTTGGTCTTCTCCATGGCAATGCAAGCTACTCGCCTAGTACACAAAGAAAGAAAGAAAGGAAAGAAGGACAGAAGAAGGGAAGGAAGGGAAAAAAAAAAGAATCCAACAAAGTTAATGCAGTTTTATGCTTAGAAAAGAGTCATTTGAAGGCTACACAAAATAGCATGAATATTCCTCCTCAGTCTTGAAATCCATAAAGAGGATTCTTCAGCTTTTATGACAACTTCCTAGAAATGGTTTAAAAGTACAGGCTTATATTAAAATTGCTTTATGTTTCTTGAGGCCACATTAACTAATAATAAGGGTCAGAAGTCTCAACAGGTGGTTGTGAGATTCAGAGTGATGGTCAAGGGATATGAGTCAAGGAAGGTGTTTTGCATCCTGGATTTGTTACTTATTAGCCTGTTTTGAGTGCTTAGTGTTAGGCATGTTTCTAGGAAGTTTTCATTATATTAATCCAAGCAATCTTTCTGACAACCTAAATTGCATCACAAATTTCACAAAAATTCTTGAAGTTTATAGTTTTGTCTTTTGTATTTTATTGTATGAGAAAAGATTTTTTTGCTTATTTTCTGAAGTAGGAGTCCAATCTCTTTCATGTCCCTTATGGATACGCAGTTGTCCTAGCAAGATATACTACTGAAAAGTAAGACCATTTCCCACTGCTGTGCAATGCTATTTGTTACAGAAAAAGTAGCTGTTTAGGTATGGGAGTGCTTTAGGATTCTGTCTCTTAGTTGGGCTGAGCTTAGTTGTGAGCTTTGGTATTTGGTTGAATAAGACCTTGCTCCTTGTTCAAGAACATCCTGGCTATCCCTCAACTTGTGCATTTCCAGGCAAACATGAAAGCTAATTTATATATGAATGCATGTATATATAAGTGGTATGTATGTATAAGTTGAGTGTTATGTGTCCTCCTTATCACTCTCCACCTATTCCTTTGAGGCAGGGTCTTTCTTTCCACCTATGGCTCATGTTTTCTTTGCTAAGCTGGAAGTCAGCAAGCCTTAATGATCCTCCTGTCTTCATTTCCTAGGAGCTAGGGTTATAGGAATATATCTGGCTTGTATGTGGGATTCATGACTGCAAAGCTAGTCGTCTTAATTACTCAATGAGTTACCACTCCATGTAAACTTTAAAGTCAGTCAATTTTAAGACTTGGAATTTTGATTGAGGTCTCACTGACTCTTACAGTCCATTAATGCAATGTTTCTATCTGTATTCTTTAATGACTTAGTAAATTTTGTTTTGTTTTGTTTTAGACAGGTTCTCATGTATCTTAGGGTGGCCTTAGAGTCTTGATGTAGTGAAGGATGACTTTGAACTCCCGATGTTCTTGCCTGCACCTCCAAGTGCTGGGATTGCAAATGTGTACCACCATGCCTGATATTTTTTGTTCTTAAAAACAAGGTTTCATGTAGCCCAGGCTAGCCTGAAGTTCACTATGAAAATGAGGTTGGCTTTGAACTGATCCTCCTACCTCCACCTTCTCAAACTCTGGGATTTACAGGCTTGAGCCACCACTTCTAGTTCAAAACTCCCTCTAAGGCTTTGCACATACTAGGCAAACATTCTACCACTGAGTTACATCCCTTGCCTTGTCTCAGTAAATTAGAAACCAGTTCTTTTTCCTGTAGTTTCAGGAAAGTCTATTTTTTTTTTCCATTTTGTGAGAGGATCTCTGTAGTTCAGGCTGGCCTGGTCTTCACTATGTAGATTAGGTTGCCCTTGAACTCCTGGAAATTTTCTTGCTGTAACACACAACATATGAGGATTTAGATGGGCACCATAACAGCCAGATAATGAATGGTTTTAAAAAAAAATCCTGCTTCTGTGTCTTTAGTATGTTCTATTTCCCTATAAACTGGGAAATTAAGAGTCCTAAGCTGCTGCTTCTCCCCCCCGCCCCCGCCCTGGCCTCAAACTCACAATCTGCCTGCCTTACTTTCCTGAGTTCTGGTATTACATGTATATGCTACCATGGTGCAGCCTCTGTTTTTTGTTTTTGTTTTTCTGTAATCTTGAAGGTACTTTTGTAGTCCTAACAATGTGGGGAAAGGGTTCCTGACAGATTGCCCATCTCCATTAAGCCTTGGTTCTATGATGTAACAGCAAATGCCTTCTTGGTAAGATGGGGTACTTGGTACTCTAAGGGTTTTCTTATAGCTCTGATGAAAGGTTCTCACAGAAGACCTGGTTGCTGAGTTCCCCAGTACCCTTTGAGCTATTCAGTGTTTTCAAGCTCATTAAAACAAACAAACAAACAAACAAAAACACCAAAGCAAAGCAAAAAAAACAAAAACAAAACAACAACGAGAAACCTCCTTCATTTTCTGCAGCATATTTTTTTCTTTGCAGCAGGAGGATTGATCTGCACAGCCTAGACCTCAGCACAGACAAGAAACAAACCTTTTTTCCACTGCAGCTTCCTCAGATTCCTGCAGAGGGCTAAGAGCTCATGATTTATATAGCTGTTCTAAGCCTGGAATCAATATCATTATTGTTTTTCTTCCCTTACATTTTTCTGCTACAGTCTCCTGTATCCCAGGCTGGCCTCAGACCCTCTGTGTGAATAAAGATGACCCTGAGCTTCTGCTTATCCTGTGTAAGCACTGGACCACAGGCTTATGCCACCACTCGTGCTTTACTCGGTGCTGGTCCTCAAACGCAGGGCTCCCCCTCCCGACCTACTCCATCTCCAGGCCACACATGACTTCTCTGAATAAATGCTCATAATAGATGATTGCCTTCTAGAAGACATTTTGTGAAATGTATCATTCACGGCAGCAGCATCAAAAAGACTTAGAAATTCTTTCCTCCTGCTTATGCTAAACTGTCTGCACAAGAGCAGACTGAAAGACAGTACCAGATGGCAGGCTGCTGCTTCTCTTTTTGGGCCTACGTTTCCCCATGTGTAGCATGATGGCATCTGAAGTCCTCATCCACTTGAGCACTCTAAGTTTAAGAATATTTTTGAGAAACATGAGATAGTTGAAAGAGGCACTCACGCCACAGAGATTAACCAAGAAAACTCTTAAATAGTGAGAAGGACTGGTGGAAAAGTGGAAATATTTATGGATTCAATACTTTTGGTAACTTTAAACTAAGTTCAATATTTTTGTGGGGTACAAGGGGTGGCAGAATTTCAGGTTTTGGCAGGTTAAGTTTTGTTGTCAAAACCCAGGCATTAAATTATCTCTCTCTCTCTCTCTTTTTTTTTTTTTGGTAGCAGATTTCTGGTGGATATTGGACAAATACTTAAGAGGGTAGATTATGGACACTTAATAGATGATACATATCCTCTCTTCACTCAGTTAAAAATGGGGTCTAAAAATGCTTGTCTGACTTCATCCTGTTTCATAGCTTAAGCCTTCTAACAGAATAGGCCACCTTTCCTCCCTTTGGCTCTTGTTCTGTGGATGGATCCCCGGGTATGCCAGGCAACCATCTACTTCTGAGCTAAGCCACACCCCCCACTCCCCTCCCCCCAAAACCCAACAAAGCTTCTGATTGTCCTTTCTCTCAACACCGGAACAGGTTGCACCCTGAGCAACACTGAATCATGGCACTTAAAGATTTTTTTCCCCCTGGTATTGTGGTAGGAGAGCCATGACAAAATACAGAGGGAGGTACATCCTGAAGAAAATGCCATTCTAAAAAGACTAGAACAGTTTGTTTGAGTTAAAGGCTCTGCCCAAATGATCTGAAGATAGCTGCTTAGCTTGTGTCCTCCCTCCTTTCCTTATACATAAAGTGTAGAGATAACTGGAACCAGCATCTAACCATAAGTTGAGGATTGAGATTCTTGGACAAATTTTTGGATTTGATCTTAGAGAACTAGATTTTGTATAATAAGCAAAGCAAAGGTCATCTCAAGCAGGTTTTATAATATGAAATATGAAACTGAGGGGAGGGCTCCGTTTTACCATAAAACAAAAGCATACCATTCCTGAAGTTCAGGAGAAGGAATGAGACCCGCGGTTCCATTTTTTGAGTTTTCCAGTTTACCCTGCCACCAGTTGTGGTCATCCTTACTAATGATCTGGATGATGTCACCAACTCGGAATCGGATGCCAGCTTCTTTGCAGGGGATGAGGTCATCCTTGGCTGGATCATATTCAAATTGTGCTCTTACATAGATCTATAAAATAAGAGTTTGTAAGAAAGGAGGCCACAGTGACATGAAGAAAAACAGTGAGAACTACTCTAAGAACTACTCATTAACATTTACAACACAAACAGGACATCAGATGGTGAAAGCTGAAACGATGTATAGAGATAAGACATAAGAAACATCTACCACTAGAAACATGGTGCCACACCTGATGACTCTCTAGTCATTCATTTTTGCTGTTTATATTTTAAAGGAAGACTTAAAATACTTTTTGAATAAATTCCACTTTTAGTAATAGGATAGCTGTATAATTATAGGGTAATAAGCTCACTAACTTTAAAACTTGCTATGGCTGTGCTGATGTTTTACATATGTTGTCATGATTATGATGCAACCTTTAAGACATGGAGACTAGTATTCAGAGTAGGTTTTCATCTTAAAGCAGCAAGAACTCTGGGTTGGTATCTTGCCTTCATGACATTGGATGTCATGCTTTCATGACAACTGGCAGTGTGCCTGTACACTGCAGACATAGCTATATGGTAATTCGAAACAATATTAAAAAGTTTAAAATACAGCTTTATTTCTTTAGAGGGATTCTGGCTTTGTATTTGTGCTTTACTATTCTGGGAAAATAAAGATGATTCTAAACCCTTGATGTAACCAATGTAACACTTGAAATCAGCACAGAACAACAAAGCATGCATGGTTCAAGGTCCCGAGCTTTATGGTGTGTGAATTTAGGAGACACATTAGCTCACATGGGTTATAACACAGCAGTGTCTTATGAATAACTAGAATTCTAAGTGCTTTAAAATAAATCCAAGGTTACCTCAGCTATGAAGTCCTGAGACTAAACTGTGCTAATTTATATAATTCTTAACTTAAATTCGGAGTTATTATTTTTTAGCATTACATTTCAAGGATAATTCCTATTATTCTATCTCTTGATACTAAATTTAAATATTCACATTTAAGTCACTGTAAAACCAACCTGAAGGCTTTGGAACTTTGTGTGATATTTCTGTTTTAGCAATCCAGCCCTTAAAATTAACAAATCCCTGCATTTGTACCTAAAATCCATGCTTTAAGAGTGCTGGCTGTTTGAAAGGCTCTTGCCGATGCTAGAAAGCATGTAGCATTTCTAAACTAGCCCAGGAATATCAGGTTGAAGGCCAAGGTACTGATGCTGTGTTTCATTGTATGAATCTTTTAGACACATACAGGCAAATACAAATTACATTTTAATTCAGCTTTCAATTTCAGAAGAGTGCCTTAAAATGTTTATTTGGGCATAAATTTCAGTTATATTTTACAATTCTATGAATTCTGTATGCCGCAGAGGTAGGCAAGACTCCCTAAGACTAAACTTTTTATTGCCAGCAGAAGAATTATCAGGTTGAAATTACAATAACCATCAGAGCTACAGAGATGTGAGGAAATAAATCTTTATAGAGAATTAGTCATGTATAATGTGTTAAAATGAAATGGTACAAGCTTTCAATGCTCAAATGTTATGGTCCAAAATGCAGACATTATGGGATGGAAAGGGTTAATAAAGGATTGGCTATTAGCTCAGTTTAGAGAAGTCTCTATAGAGGGTGTCTATTCACCTGTCGTCCTTTTGGTTGGGTGGTTGATGGCAAGTCCTGCAGAATAAAGCCAACCCAGGAGAAAAATTTTCATTTACTTGTCAAGAGTACAAAGTAATTTGTGTGTTTCTGTTATAATATGGTTAAAAATTAACTAGATTTAAGTTGTAAAGAGATCATATACATTATTACATTTCTTAGAAATGTTGAGTTATTAAAAAAAAATCAAACCCAGGCCATTTAGCAGCAAGCTGAAGAAAGCAGGTAAGTTGAAGCAGAGAGAAAATGTGTTCTTAAGAAACAACTCAGCATCTTCAACACAAAAGCCATTGCGGTTCAAACAGCCCATTACAACCCCCCCTAAGCACAAAAGAACAGTTGTCCTTTGCAGCTTCATCACTGCAACCATTCAGATTTTGAAAGTTTTAATGGCTCTACAGATTTTTAACATCTTAAAATCAGTACAGGTTAACTTTGAAAAAATAATTATTTGGGAACCTAGGTTCACATTGGAAACAGTTATGAACAATTTTCTCACACAATTTCTCTTACTTAGATACTTGGGATATCATTCCATTTGAGATGATCATTGAATGATTTATGATTTTATTTGATAAGAAAGTTGATATGTTCTTAAAGGGCAAATTAAAAGGCAGAACAAAAGGCAGAACTGCTGTGTTCTTAGAGGTCTTATAATTGCAGCTGGGTGACAGGCAGCAGCAGCAATAGAAGAGATTTGGCTATCCCAAACCCCTGCAAATTACCAAACTTGTACATGGAAATGTTTCTGTTTAGGTAACAATTCTTTCTATATTCCAAAATGGAGAGTTCTGGAAAATGGCAACATGCCAAGTTCAAGCTACATATGTACTTTGTGTTAAAGATGTGATACCAGCATGGCTTAAGTGCAGTTTGAAGCCAGTTCCTTTTGCTTTTCATATCCAGGCAAGGCTTATAATTCACAAAAATATGTGCACGTACCACAATAACAAGAGGGCACACCAATTCGTAAACTTAGATAGCGGAAACTAAAATATGTTGCTGATATCCCTCAGAATGGAAAACTATAAAGCCCAAGAACGCCCAAACGCTTATTCTGCAAAAATCCCTTACCGTTATAATTTTTTTAAATTAAAAAATTCTTGAAGAAATTTAAACACATTTCTATTTATATTCTTTGAGCAGTCATACATATTGGTGGGGTGGCAGAGGTCTTTTTTGAACAACTATGGCATAGTCTTGAACTATGTTTCTCCAAAGGTGAGTGATTTTGAAGAAGGGAATGTTGAGGAAGGCTTTCCAGGAGGAAACTGCACAGCTCCTGCAGCAGCCTTGTGCGTATGCAGAAGACAATCTTTCCACCGAACACATGTAAACTAAACACTCATGGCAGGTGAGCACCAACAAAATTGTCACACTTGGCTGTGTGGAGCTAGAGTTCTTACCGAAACAGAATTGTTAGTGCTGCTATGACCATTAGCAGGGGACTGTCTGGAAGTGGAGGGGGAATCTCTCTGAAATAAGACACAAGGTTCATTAACACAGAGCACCAGCACAGAAACAGATATTCACATCAGCAGTCAAACCACAGTCTCACAACCATTTTCTTTGAGGTTAATCTATAAAAGGTGTCATTCTGACTTACTTGCATGACTTCACAGAAGTATGAAAAAAAAGTTGTTTTGCAGTTTGAAGATTCCCATATTACAAGTGAGGGCTGTGTTGTCATTTATTAATGATTAACTTTCTCCTGTATACCAAATTCTACAATCTTTGTTTTCTTATTACGACCCCAGGAGAGTCATATTAAAACCCTATCAAATATCTCACGATGCTAAATATTATAATACTATTTTGCTGAAGATCTCAACTGCTTAGTTTTGTATGAAAGAATAGGTGAAAGAAAGGGCTTGAGAAGTAATTGATAGTTTTTAGGTACCTTACTGTTGAGAATTACCAAATAACTCCATTGAAAGTAAATGAACCTAAGAGAAAGACTTCACATATTTTAATCAGTTTAGACCCTTCTAGAATAAATATTAGCAATAGGGTAAAAAGAGAAAGCTGCACCAGAGAGCAACTTTCTTCTTTTATATGATTCTAGCAGACTAAGACAGTAACTCTAAGCAACAATGCTCTATTTCTGGCCAAACTCTCAGGAGCCACATCACTCTCCCAGGAGGCACACTCCCACACTGTCTGCTATTCAACCCCCTCCAAATCCTTTCCAGGTTCCATGCATTCATGTCCAAGTCAACTTTAATGAAAAGAACTATCAGAAGAAGAAAGCAAGTGCTTTCAAACATTTCATTTTCAGAGTTCTTTATGAACTTCTGCTCCAAAAGGTATGTTTCTTTCTAGTATATTGAAAGAAAACTTTGGGAAATTGTTAGCCTGAAATAGGATGAGCTCCTTTACAGGAACATTCTCAAACATTCCTGAGATCTGTATTTGTCATCCTTAGGGATTCAAATCAGTAGGGCTAGGGTTTGAAGGAAGCAGATGAGAGCCTTCATTTGAGAAGCCTTGCCATAGCTAGGGAGAGGCCAGAGCCACGCGAATTAAAAAAAAAAAAAAAAAAAAAAGTATGTTTTTATGTTGGGGGTGAGGAGAGTAAGAAGAGGGTATAATTTTTCTAATATTTTAAGTATAGAGTTTATATGTATAATACTGTTATCTCCCTCAAATGAGTTCAACTACTTGAAAAAAAGAGAGAATCTTGGATTAATGACTAACGCTATCTTCTGGCTAGTACCATCACCAATCCAATCTACTTATTCAATTTCTTCAACACATGAGAAATGGGGTGAGGGACGCCCATGTTTTAGAATATTGAAATTATTTATAGAAAAAAAGGATACATGTCTTCTTTCTTTCCCAGTTACTCTAAGTACCAAAATTTAATGCTCCAAATCTTGAAGCTGGAGAAATGCTGCATATTTTTGAAATACATTTTAATTGACATTCCATAGGAAGCCACCAAGAGGAGCCCAAGACCCAAAAAATAGACACTGTAATCGTCAATGACTCACTAAAAAGCTACTTGAACCCTCTACTTGTTTCCCTGTGAAATTCAATGCACCACTACAGACTTGAAAAGTATAATTTATCTTTCAAATTTTCTTAAGCACAAATCCAGTAAGTTAGCTACTAGCCCTTAAAAATTAACTTGAGAAAATGTACACTTCAAATCTATTTATTTGCAGTGATAGGAATTGAACCCAGGGCCTCACGCATGCTAGGTAAGCATTCTACAACTTAGCTATATCCTAAGCTCTTGTACTTTATATTAACATACTTGGAAGATCCACAAGAAAATTTTTTAAAAAGCTTCAATAAATAACACTTGCTGAATGTGCTGCAATCAAAGAATGATACTATTATGAAAATTATGTCCTCCAATATAGAAAGAATAGGTGTTTGTAAAATGAACAACATAAAACTGAAAAAAAAAAAGGTTAAGTTGAAAGAGTTCTAATTGCCAGATGATCAAAATCTGTTTTAATAAACTTGGGGGCTATTATTCCACAAAAGGAACTTGTTTATGAGTCATTTAGCATTTTAAATATTCACACTTTTACAAACGTTGCAAGAACTTACGTCCCTGCAGTGAAGTCAGTTACCAGTTCATCAGGGTCTTAATCACTCATTCAAACACCAATATCTCAACAGAAGTTGATCACTTCTCAGATTCTTGGAAAGAAGAACTACCTGTCAGATTTCTTAACAAGGGAAGTGAATGGACTTCCTGCTGTATTTTTTTTTTTTTTTGCCTCAGGGATTTCATTTTTCCCCCCTTATCAAGCGTTATGTTATTGTAGCATTTCTATATTTGGTTTAGATTTGGCTGCAGAAAGGCTGAAGATATCTGCATGGAAGTGGGGCTGAGGAGGTGGGTGGGACCTCCTCTGTTCCGTTATCTTTGTTGTAAAATTGGTGTGCAGTGATCTAACAGCACAAGCAGAAACAATTTCCCAGAAAGCAAAAACATTCAGCCATCAGCAGACAGTTAGTTCAGAAGTCAGAGGAAATGGGGAGGCTTGTTAGAGTTATTACCTCACAGGATGAAGACTGAGTGCGGTAGCTTGGCACAATCTTGAAGGTGATACTCCCCCGCATTTCCCTCTGGGGGAAGAAAAGGCGAGAGTCCTCATGCAAACATGTTGCACACGAAAATACACACAAAAAAATACTACTCAAAACACAGGGGTACAATCAGTACACACCAACTGACAGCACACAGCCCTAATAAAAGAAAGCCCTAATTATAAGGCAGGAACCATTCAGGCTGCCAGTAGAGGTTTTTGGGAAAGGTCCTCTGAAGTCAAGACTGACTATCTTGTATCTGGCAATGAACAGTCTCATAGATCTCTGATCATTATCTTTTTGTTCACATGAATACAAAAGAGTCAAAATGACAGATCTTACAAAAATGACTTTACACTGAATTGAACAAGAGACTAAATAATCACATACAAATCCTGTTTAATATGATACTCTCTGATGCTATCTCTATAAAATTGCTTTTATGCTTTATTAATTCTGGCATTCTTTTTGATTACAGCAAGCCTGGGATGCTTACTTCTTGCCTAATAGATATTCATTACATGGTAAGCTGCTGTGCTGGAGCAAGAAGAAGGACCCAAGGCACAAAACAAATGTTTCCCTCTATTTGCTACAACAAAGAACATAGATCAGGCTCTGTCAGTGGATGTCAATGCTGTTTATTAAAGGTCTAATTTCAGTACAGTTTTTTCCCCCCAAGTATAGTAAATAATGGCCTGGCCTATAGTGACTTTCATCCTTTTTGTGCTGTAGAAAGATATACCACAGCTGGTCATGACTCAGCTAAACAGGAAAGAGGTTTCTGATATTGCCTGTGTCAGGAGTGTTTTGAGGTCAGTGAGAAACTAGTTCATATGAGTACATACCAGGAAGGTTTTTCTGTAAATACCTGGCTGGTAAGAAACAGATGAAAGATAGCAGTGTGAAACTCCACACTGCTAAAGGCAGGCAAAATGGTTCCAAACTCCACTGCAGCTAAAACATTGTCCTAATTGTCAGTTTTTAATGAACATTGCACAAGTTCAACCTCACATAAATGGTGGCACGAGGTATATTCTGATAATGATTGATGAACCATTAGGTACGTTTTCTTTGTATCTATTTATTTAGTGTACGCGTTAGGTGTGTGTGAGAAAACAATTGCTGTATGTATGTTCAGTGTATGTGCACACAGGAGCCAACACCTGTGTGTATGTGCTCATGGAGGCCAGAGAGCATGTTGGGTATTCTGCTCTATTATTTTCCACCTTATGTCTTTGATAAAGGATCTCATTGTACCTTGAGCTGGGTTGGTGGTTAGCAAGCTCCATCTATCTTCATATCTCTACCAGATACAATGCTGGGGTTACAAGGCAAGTGAGACTATGCCCTGCTTCTTATATGGGTATGGCATCCAAACTCAGGTACTCCCACAATAAATCCTTTTACCCACTGAGCCATCTCTCTATCTCCTACATTATGTATGTTTTTACAAAATAAGTTAATGGAGCTGTCAAGATGGCTCAGCCATAGGACCTATACAATGAGAACACCAACCGACATGCTATTATTGAAGGGGTGAAATCTCACGGGGTCCTACCCCTAGACAAAGAACTACAGGCAACTAAGGAATGTTGGGAGGAAAAATGAGTTGTTCCCAGGGATGAGCCTCCCACTTGGTTGTCCAGTTCTGGTGGTTAGCTGGGAAAGCATGTAACACATGCTTTAATTAAACATATAATACATGTTTTTTTTTTTACAATATATGTTTTAAACATATAATAATGCTTTAATTAAACATATAATGGTAAAAAAAAAGATGGCTCAGTAGCATTTGCTGCCAAGCTTGTGACCTGAGTTATATCTCTGGGGCCCACACGGAGAAAGAAGAGAACAAGTTGTGTGCATACACACATATACCCAAACATAATAAATAAATGTGATAAAAATCAAAATCTAAGCTAATGAACTAAAAAATAATTTTAGAAAAGGGAAAACTTTCATTTACTTACAAGCATTTTTTGTAACTGTTCCACTGTTTGGTTAGCAACACTGATGCCATTGATTTCTCGAATTTCATCACCAACATGAAGTGTACCTAAGAAAATCATACACAATTATAACTATGAAATGAGTAAATGTTTTTATGATAATGAAAAATCAAAGGTAGAAATGTAATAAAAAGTTACATATCTAAAAGCCAGTGTTTTAAAGACAGGTCACGTTTAGCTACAGGATTATTTAACTTTTTTGGTAGTAAAACCATCCAAACAGATAAATCTACTTGCAGAAAGCACAGTTTTGATGGATGGCCATAGAAATTTGTTGACCACCCAGTAAGAGACTATCAGGTATGAGCAGACAGAACTGAAAATAAAACCAAAGACTAGTACTTCTAAAACAAAAACAAAAATGATGATATAAGCTAATAAATGGATAAGTTGAATAAAAATTTAGACATGGCTGAGGAGTTTCAGTGAAGCTGAAGATATAACAAAAGATTACCTATAATATAGGTCATAGAAACAAAGACAGACGGTAAACAGGAAAGAAGAAGAAAAAAGACTATAAAAGCTACGGAATATAGGAGTATTTAATGTACATCTAACTGAAATTCATCAAGAATGAAGAAGTGGCCATGATGGAGCAGTTGAACTGATGAAAGTGTTACTATAGAGATCCAGGAAGAAAAAGAAAAATAATAAAAGAAAATCTGGGCCAGCAGTAAAAGGCTCTTGCCACCAAGCTTGACAATTTGAGTTCCATTCCTAGAACCTATGGGGTGGAAGGAGAACTGACTCTTGCAAGTTGTCCTCTGACCTCTATATGCACTGTGGCATCTGTGTGTGTGCACACACAGAAAAATAAACAAAATAAAGATATTGTTTAACTTCAATGTATGGAAAATTTTCAAGGTAACTACTAATATCACAGAAATAGGGTGCTGACATTAAAAGTAAGAAATTAGGGGATAATGAAACAAAAAAAATCTTCAAAAAATCAACAAGAAAAGCAAAACAGTAGAATCATCACAAAAATATTAATGAACTACTCTATCAAAAAACAGTGATCAAAACTGTTCCCAGATAGTCTATTACCTTAATCTCAGCACTCAGGAGGTAAAAGCAGGAGGATTATAAAAGTTTAAGGTCACCCTTGGCTACATTGTAGGCTTGTGGCCCATGTGCCTAATTCATATAGTCAAATACATGAGTTCAAAGAGAGGTTTATAAATAGACATTGAAATACTCCATATAATAAATAGATATTCTAAGATGTATTAGTAGGTCAAACATAAAAAAAAATCAACACATAGAAGAGTTGAACAAAAACATTAACAACAAGCCAATCAATATATAGGGAATTCTGTATGTAGCAACTACAAAATGAAGGTTCTTCATAAAGGGACATTTACAAAAATGATTAAAGTGCTATGTTACAAGAGAAGTCTTAACAAACCTCTGAGAAATGGTGTCACAGACCACAGTTTCTGACCACAACACAAGTTAGCAGTAAATTACAGAAAGATGTCTAGAAAAATCTCCTCAAATATGGTAAAAAAAATTGTAAATAATTTATGGGCCAATGAAAAAATGATAGAAAAATGTAAGAACACTCATGAATGAATTATAACAAATTGTTGCATATCAAAATTGGCGGGTCACAGATAAAACAGTACTTAGAAGTTTCGTTTTACTTTATTTCATAAGACTAAAACTCAAAGACAAACAGCTCTTTTATGTGAATCATAAAAACACCCCCCTTCCATTAGTAGGCATAGGAAGAATTAAGGAAGGTAAAGAAAGATGACAGATGGAACTCACCTTGCCTGTGAATCATACCCCCATGCATGATTCTTGCAACAATACAATGATTTAGCTCATTCATTTTCAAAGTGATTCCCTGTTTAAAAAAAAAAAAAAAAAAAAAAAACAAAGTTGGTGAGGGTACAATGAAATGAAAGCACTATGATTTTCTTGAAAATATTTTCTGGGCCTTGGAGCTGGGAATCTTCTCTTCTACTTCCATTATTCTTAGGTTTCATCTTTTCATGGTGTCCCTGATTTCTTGGATGTTTTGTGCCAGGATTTTTTTTTTTATTTAGTATTTTCTTTGACAAATGTATCCATTTCTTCAAGTGTTATCGTTTGTATTCTGTTGGTGATGTCTACCTCTGTGGTTCCTGCTCTCTTCACTAAGTTTTCCCATCTCCAGTATTTCCTTGGTATGTGTTTCCTTTATTGATTTTATTTCCATTTTCAGGTCTTAAACCATTTTATTCATTTCCTTCACTTGTTTGATTATGTTTTCCTGTATTTCCTTAAGTTATTTATTTGTTTCCTCTTTAAAGGCTTCTGTTTGTTTTATTATCTTTTCCTGTATTTTTTTGAGGGATTTATTCGTTTCCTCTTTAAAGGATTCTACCATCTCCATAAGCACAGATTTATGGTCGTTTTCCTGTGTTTCAGCTGTGTTAGGATATCCAGAGCTTCCTGCCATATTGCCCTGGTTTTTGTTGATTGTGGTGTCAAATTCACATATGCATGTTTATGTTAAACTTACCAGAACTTACAGTTTGAAATATTTTATGTGGGTTATAAAATAAAACTGTTATTTTGTAGAATAAATAGAGGGATACACTAATATAAAGTATACATCGTTATGGGGAGTAAAAACCTTTTAAAAATTGGCAACATAAAAAAGTGATACGAAAAATGATCGTAATTAAAAGATTAAAATGTACTTCATAAATGTATTCATGCTATTATAGCAATCAAAACACCATCAAGTAGCATTTCTGTTATATAAAAATTTGTGTGTGAAATAATAGAGGGTCTTCATTTTCTATATATTCTCTAATGATTTATAATTCCTCTAATTAATTCACCTACAGTAAAATTTTTGTCTTTGTTGAATAGTATTGCATTATTTAGAAACACCAATTTGTTCATGCATCGTTCCACTGTACTCCATACAGTTTTAGCAATTATGAAAACAAAAATCAAAAAAGAAAATGACATTCCTGGTTCAATTCTGTACTTAATCATAACAATTTAAAAAAAAAGATCTGGGACATTTAGTGTGTTTGTATATCATCTTTCTACAGACGCCAGGATAATATTTTCTGTGTTAATATTTTAGTACATACACTGTTGAAAGGAGCATATATTAGTGTTTTCATTTTTTGTTAATTTGCTTGGCTAAAATTATTTTTAGAAAAATCTGCATCTATATTCATGAGGGATTCTAATCTGTACTTTTCTTGTAATATTGTTGCTTGGTTTTATAACGTAGCACTGGCTTTATAGAATGAGCTGTGAAAAGCTCATTCCTTTTCATTGTTTTGGGAAAAATTTATGTAGAATCATCTGCAGCCTGTCTGGGATGAACAGACTTTTTTTTTTTTTTACATCTCTTCAGGATACACTAATGCAATAGTCATATGGTCATTTTCAGGATTAGTCTGATTTGATTGAAGCTGTTGAGATTTTTGTTTTCTTTTTTTTTTGAATTTTATTTTTTTTCTTATCAGTTATATTTTATTAACTCTGTATGAGATTTTTGTTTTCTATTCCACTGATTTCTACATTTTTTTTCTCTCTCTCTTTCTTTTGGCAGGACTCAGAAATGAATTCGGGGCCTCACAGGTGCTAAGCAAATATTTCACCACTGAGCTATACTGCTATTCTCATTTATTTTTATTGATTCTTATTCTGTCTTCTACTCATTTTGGCTTTAATTTGTTCTCTTTTGTCTTGATTTTTTTAAGGTGGAGATTTGAGACATGGTCACTGATTTTTAAAACATTTAAAATATATTTAAATATTAAAATATATTTAGTGTTATATATGTCTCCTTATTAAGCACTATTCCAGTGGCATCACATAAAATCTGATACAGTGTAGTTAATTTTCATTAATTGCAAAATGCTATTTACCTTCTGATTTTTTCTTTATCTATGGATTAATTCAAATTGTGTTACTTAGTTTTCAAGTATTTGAGATATCTTATTTCTTTTTTTTTAAATTTGTTTTAGCTTTTTATTTATTTTTGAGGCTTGGCTGTGTTAGCCTCAAATTCACACTCTTCCTGGTTCTGCCTCTTGAGTGCTAGGATTACAGGTATGCAATACTATGCCTGGGGTCTATCTGTTATTGTCTTACCTATGAAAAGTGTAGGGCTAAAGATGGAGCAGAGAGTGAGAAAATGGCCAATGAATGGCTGGCCCAAATTGAGACCCACTCCACGGGAGAGAGCCAAACTCTGTCCCTATTAATAATACTCTGCTATGCTTGTAGACAGGAGCCTGGCATAACTGTCATCTGAGAGGCATAACCCAGCAGCTGATGGAAACAGATGCAGAGACCCCCAGCCAAACAATAGGCCGAGCTTGGGGAGTCTTGTGGAAGAGTGGGAGGAAGGATAGAGGGAGATGGAGGGACACCACTAGAAGACTTACAAAGTAAACTAACCTGGGCCCATGGGGGCTCACAGAGACTGAACCACCAACCAAAGACCCTGCATATGTAGCAGATGTGCAGCCTGGTCACCCTGTGGGTCCCTAACAATGGGAGTAGGGGCTGTGTCTGACTCTGTTGCCTGCCTCTGGCTCCCTTTCCCCAAGCTGGGCTGCCTTGTCTGGTCTCAGTGGGAGAGGATGCGCTTAGTCCTGCTGCGACTTGAGGTGGCAGGGTTGGTTGGTACCTTTTGGGGGGCCCTTCTCTGAGAAGAAGGAGGAGGAGGAATGAGGGGAGGGGTGCATGAGGGTTTGACTGGGAGGAGAGGAGGGAGGGGTGGGCAAGATCAGGCTGTAAAGTGATTAAATAAAGAAGGAAATTTTTTCTAACTCACTTTCACTGTGGTTTGAGAATAAACTTTGCTATTCATTTCAGCTTCATCTGAATAGAGTGGTATATTATTTTATAGCATATTATTTTTTAAAATTATTTAATTTTTTATGTGCATTAGTGTGAAGGTGTCACATCCCTTGGAATCAGCATTACAGACAGTTGTGAACTGCCATGTGGGTGCTGGGAATTGAACCCGGGTCTTTTGGGAGAGCATACAGTGTTCTTAACCACTGAGCCATGTCTCCAGGCCCTCATATTATTATTTATATTAGGTATTATTTTATTTTATAGTGGTATAGCTTTCCTATCCTTATTTTGAAACTTTTTTTTTTTTTTTGGATAAAGTGCATTTCTTGCATTTCTTCTTAGCTTTGGGTTATCTACAGATGTTTTGATTTGGTCTATTTTCAAAAGACACTTTTGCTGGTCTCCCCAGATTCTTAGCTCCATTCCCTCAATCTGGGCACTCTGCCTGCTTTGCTTCAGAACTCCCTCCCGTGCACTGGCTCGGAAACTCTCTGAAGGCAGTAAGGTGGGACAACTGTAAGCGTTACTGTGTTTGCATCCCCTCTCTCAAAGATCTCTGTCTCTTATTGCTCGATGTCCAGCCATTCTTCCACGGAATTGAATATTAGTTACAACTGCATCTGTTTCAGATGAGAGGGCCAGAAGCTTGAGTTTCACAGTGATAGTTAAAGCCATTTTACATTTTACTTTTCAATCTTCACTATTAAAAGATGACCTTCCATAAACGTATTTTTGCAGTAGATCTGGTTGATCCTAAGAATCTCATGGGGGGAGGTGCTGCTAAATGCTGACTCTTGAGTACATTCTTCAGACTTAAGTAAGTACACTCTTCTCTTCATGGGAAGGGAAATGGAGTGCCACCGACTTATGTCTCTTTTAACAAGATCACTTTATAGGAAAGCTGTCCTGAATTTGAAGAGGTTAGTAGTAGGCATTCAATTTTGCCTCTCTGGAGAATAGCATTCTGTCAGGAAGCTTCAAGGAATTTTCTGAGAATTTATAGTCTAGCTTAATTAGAACCATGCCACAAAATATATTTTTTTGCATGGTTCCTATTTGGAAGCTCTCAGATGAACTTAGGCAAGCGCTGCGAAAAAGTATAGTTCACGAAAGGATTCTGGTCCTAATATTCAGTTGTAATGTTGTTTCATTTCCATTTTGTATATTCTATCAGCATGCATGATTCCTTGGAGAAGTATTCTGTGAAAATGCCATAAACAAATGCATACGTCAAACTGAGTTTCATAAGGGAAATGATGGTGCAACAGAGATTCCATCTTTAAAGTGAAAAGGTTTCTGTATTAACTAAACTAACATGAGTGGGAAACTACTAAGTGGCAGACACTCTTTTAGGCACAATAGTAAAGGAGCCAGACATCTTCATTGCTGGAGAAATTTACTTCAAACCAACTGTAGTCAATATTATTTTTGTTCTGTCTTCCCCAAAATTTCTCTGCAGAGAAGAAGTGACTCATATTCTTTCTCCAGGGAATGCATTGGCTTAGCTTGGAATGGGCATCTACTCCTGAACCTGTCAAAGCTTGAGGGCTTTGAGGGTGGCATATATGCCTGGTCTTTTATTGCTTACACGAGCTTTCCTCCCATTGTGTAAGCTAGTTGAAGTATGGTCTTTGTCATTTCTAACTGTGACAGTCTCAATCAATAGGGCAATAATTCTGAGTACAGTGTTGCAAACTGGGAAAACACAGGGTATAAAGGAAAGGTGGCACCATTAGGGAATGTTTGTATTACTTGAGTCCCTAGGCAGAAGAGGTCATGTAGATATAATCTGCACAGTAATACAGAACTATGTGGAAGACAAGTGAACAGGCAAACAGTCATAGTAATTGCAATGGAGTTCTATTTTGTTTGTTGCTATATATTTTACATAAAATAATTCCTATTTTTGTGGCAGCCAGTGAAAATGTATGCCATCACCAAAATCACATGAGCAAGATAAGATTAGCCTTTTAAAGGAGACTTCTAAGAAGTGATTCAAGGTAATTTTTGCTTTCTGAAAAACTAACTCAGAGAGAGATGTGTGGACTTTTTCTCAATCGGTTTAGTCAGCCCTCATCCAAAGGACAAGCAACTGCCATTAGCTTGCTTCGGATTATATGATTACAAGATACTCTGGGACCTCCCTGTGGCCCCTTACACCTTTCTGTCTGCTTTGCTTGGCTGAACATTAAGCCCTCCTACCTTTCCTTTCCATGAACAGCCTTCCAGCTCTGTTGTTACTGGGGATGTCAAACTGCTAAGCTGCAACCTGCTTAGAGAGGACCACACTGTGGAAAGTGAGCTCCAGGAACGGGCCACGTCTTATCTGCCCCTCCATCACAGGTATCTCATGCAGTGATGTATCATATGGACTTTCAATGTTTGCTCACTGGGGGAATCAAAGCATAAAATGAAACATTTGACTTTCACAGTTTTGAGGGACCTCGGGATCATTTAGCCAGTGTGCTTCTTAGAGGTGAATAACCTGAAGTCCATGGATATGAAATGACACGTACAAGTCCTCAAAACCTGCTGCCACCCATGCTCTTAAAACCAAGGGTTGCTAAGCCTAGAGAGCACCAAGCAGGTAGCCGATCTGCATGCCCCCTGTGTGCTGCCAGATAATGTTAAGGCAACTGACAAAGAACAATGGACAAGAATACACACAGCCCTCTACACCTGAGGGCTCTCTGGAAATTTTGGTCATAGACCTGCTCTTCTGTATTTCTTCATTATCTGGAAGGCAATTGGTCAACTTTCTTAAATAGGTATTTTGCTTTCTTTAAAGCTCTGAAGAAAAGATATGAATGCATATATTTGAATGTTTTCCTCCCTAGAAATGTGCTCCCATCTCAGTCTTGAAAGTTGCCCAGTGTTCTGCCTCAATGTCACTATCTCCTTGTGCATTCAATTGTATGAACCTGAAGGTTAAGAGCTGTCCTTGATTCCCACTGCTCTCACTGTAACGTACTATTTGCCTTACTGATTTACCTTCATTCATTCATTCCTTTTCTGAGACAGGATCTCAATTAGCCCAGACTGACCTGGAACTTGTTACACAGTTCTGTGCTGTGATTACAGGCATGGGTCACCATGCCTAGCTCTTTCACTCTTTCTATCTTGACGTATATTCTACTAGTTCTGAGTACTAGCACCCCTTCCCTGCACCATGGCAGTGTCTGTTTGGTTATTTCATCTCCCTAAACTTTATAATACAGTTTTCAGAGTGCTAGTTTTCTAAAATGAAAACCTAATCTAGCTCCACACTAAAACCATTCAACAGCTTTTTGCTGTTTTTAGACTAAAAACCAGACCACTATAACATATCGTTCAGTACTTGTATGGTCCCTGCTTCACCACTTACCATGCTGCCTGTCAGCCAGCTGCAGTGCCTTATTTACTATCAGGATTCTGAGCGTTTTCTTTTGTTTGCCTGAGCTGTGTGTGTCACTTTAGTTCCCCGTCCTTTCCATCTGCACAGTGACTACCCCAGGGCCCTTCCTTGGTCACCTCAATCTACAATGCTCCCAAGAGTAAGTGGAGGACAGCACCAGTTGTCTTCCAGCTGTACGCCTCAGCATGGGGGAAGTGGATGAGCAGGTCGATGGGAGTGGAAGAAATCTTATTTTAGCAACATTGTTCATGTCTCTGAATGGATCCTGAATGATTTTTCTTTGAGTTTCGGTGGAAGCAAAAGATACGCAAAGTACTGAAATCTTTATTTCACGTCATCATCATCATCATTATTATTTTTTTTTACAATGCTAATACTTCAAATGCCCTCGTTCTTTGCTCTATGAGATAGTTCTTACATTCTGGAGTAATGTACCTCTTCTTGGGAAGTTGAAAAGTAATTGTTACAGTAGAGCTGTGATGGCCAGAATGTCTGAGACCTGGTGTCGGGTAGAGTAATTCTTGGAGAAAAGGGCAGGAGAACTGATGATCTGGAAACTGATTTCTTTAGGACCATCCATGATCTGTCTCCATCCTCCTTTCCTTTCTCTTTGAGTAGCAGTCTGTACAGGGTAAAGTTAGTTGACTATAACTCAAACTTTTCCTACTTACCATTGGTTCATCTGTGTTCTTTTGGAACTGTACCAGCCGAACTCTGGTCACATTCTCCATATCCATGTCTCCGTTAGCGCTTTCTGGAGAATCACCATTTAAATAAGGAGAGGTTGGGGGAGGTGTGACCCTTAATGCTTCATCACTGTAAACTTCATGTGCCACTACATCATGAGTCTGAAGTAAGGCCTGGCATTTTTATGAAAAAAGGAAAATATTATTATTCCATTCCAGCAGAAATCTGTGACATAAACACATGTAAAATTGCTTCTCAAAAGTATTTTTTTTCATCTAAAAAGACTCCAAACGAATACACCTCTAAACTATCAGACCTCAATTTCTTTGTGGCAAATTATCATGATAGATGAATTTCTTTTTAAAAACGGAATGAGCAGGTGAGGGAGCAAATCAATGAATGGATGGAACTGTCAATTACCAGGGTTAGCAGTGTCATCTGGTGTTAGGCTACAAAACTGTAATTAACTCACATTTTCAAATCAAAGCTGATATACTGCAATTTTGAATAATTTTGCAGAAAGAATAATTTATAAAAAGAACCAGCAAATTTGCATGGGGCTTTAAATGGATATAAATTGTAAAAGACATTATGTAATAATTACTGTACTCAATAAGTATCTTTCTGTGATATGAATGAAAGGATGAAATTAGTATCACCTACTAGTAGGTTGGGCAATGGAAATGGAGAAGCATGAATCAAGAAGGACACACGACCTTCAGCTTCATACAACTGAATGGACAATTACACAGTGATATCGCTGGTGTCTACCATAATATTTTTATATAGTCTAAAGGATGGAGATAATTTATACTATGATTTAGGCAATAAGATGAAAACTGTACAGCTGTACTTAAGATACTAGTTTTCTTTTCTTTCTTTTTTTGTTTTTAATTATTTTTATTAATTAGTTTATTCACTTTGTATCCCCCTCCCTCTCTCCTCCCCTCCCAAACCCATCCTCCCTTTTCCCCACCTGTGTCCCTCTCCCAGTCCACTGAAAAGGGAGGTCTTCCTCCCCTTCCCTCTGACCCTAGTCTATCAGGTTTCATCAGGAATGGCTGCATTGTCTTCTTCTGTGGCCTAGTAAGGCTGCTCCCCCCTCAGGGGGAGGTGATCAAAGAGGAGGCCAAATGGTAGGAACTTGAAAAGATCATCTTGAGTGAGGTATCTCAGAAGCAGAAAGACATACAGGGTATATACTCACTCATAAGTGGATATTAGATATATAATATAGGATAATATACTAAAATCTGTACACCTAAGGAAGCTAATCAGGAAGGAGGACTCTGGCTAAGACGCTCAATCTCCATTTAGAAAGGCAAAGAGGATGGACATCGGAGGAGGAAGAAAACAGGGAACAGGACAGGAGCCTCTGAAAGGCTCTACCTGCAAGGTATAAAAGCAGATGTTGAGACTCATAGCCAAACTTTGGGAAGAGTACAGGAATCTTATGGAAGAAGTGGGAGATAGTAAGACCTGGAGAGGACAGGAGTTCCACAAGGACAGCAACAGATCCTAAAAGACTGGGCACAGGGTCTTTTCTGAAACTGATACTCTTTTCTTTTCTTTCTTTTTTTTTTTTTAAGAGATTTTTTTTCTTTTTATTCTTTAAGAGAAAGAACATGAAGTGGGATGGGTAGGGAGGGAATGGTAAAGAAAATGATAAAAAATATTCTGTATAAAATCCTCAAAAAAAAAAAAAGTTCTGTCTAAACCCAGACCAGCTGTAGATGCCGCTCTATTCCCAACACACCAGTGCTGCCCTCTCCTTCTGCTTTTAACTCATTTTATTGCTCTTCCTTTGTTTTTTTATTTTTATATTAATTTCAATTTATTCACTTTGTATCCCAGCTGTAGCCCCCTCCCTCATTCCCTCCCAATCCTACCCTCCCTCCCTCATCTCCTCCCATGCTCCTCTCCAAGTCCACTGATAGGGGAGGCCCTCCTCTTCTTCCATCTGACCTTAGCCTACCAGGTCTCATCAGGACTGGCTGCACTGCCTAATTTCCTAAAATAGCACACATATTATACAATTCAAAATTTAAATTTTTATACATATTTATTTACTGTTTGTGTATATGTGTGAACACATATACACATATGTGCCATGGTGTTTGTGTGGAGGTCACAGGGGTGACCTGTGGAACTAATTCTTTACTTCTACCATGTGAGTCCTGGGAATTGAACTCAAGTTGTTAGAGTTGGTGAAAAGTGCCTGTACCTGATGAGCCATCTCATCTCAGAATGAAAACCTTTGAAATGTTTTGTTCATTTTTGTTTTTGGAACTCTTGGATAAATCTGACAATTATCATTTTTTTGGAGACAAGGGCTCATGTCTTCCAGGTTGACCTTGAATTCACTATGTAGGAAAGGATGAGTTTTACCTTCTGTTTCTACCTCCCACGTTCCAGAATTATAGGGGCACATCACCATACTTGCTTCATGTGGTGCTGGGAATGAATGAAGCACTCTACCAAATGAGCTACGCCCCTACACCTAAATTGAAAACGATCACTTATTCATTTTGTAAAACTCACTAACAAAGGAAAATGATTTCTTTATATTGACATCTTTATGTCACCTTGGTGAACTTCAATAATAAATCTCTTATTTCTCAAAAAAAAAAAAAAAGGATACACTTCCGTTTTCTGTTCCATCATAAACCCTTTGTAATAAGCATGAGAAATTTTAGCTCAAAGAGAACTTACAACTGACTATTGGTCTGCTTGGATCTTTATACAGATTAATGTGTGTATGCTAATTCTAAACTTGGTTTCATTTTCATCTGTAATTGGTGTGGTAATAAGATATGCGCAGATAATGAAATGCAATTAAATAGTATTTTGGCATCTGAAATGATATCCTAAAAGTTTTAGCTGATCAGAGCCATGACTTAGCTATTTAAAAGTCATGCATACAAGGCAAAAATAAAGTAATGATGTGTTAAAACAAGAAAAGGAGCTGAGCAGTGGTGGTGCACACCTTTAACCCTAGCACTGGTGAGGCACAGGCAGGCAGATCTCTATGAGTTCGAGGCCAGCCTGGTCTACATAGTGAATTCCAGGATAGCCAGAGCTACACAGAGAAACCTTGTCTCAACAAAACCAGAGCCTGCCAGCCAGCCAGCCAGCCAGCCAGCCAACCAATCAACAGTGCAAGAAAGAAGATGGTGTTGACTTGTAGGTAATCAGAGTATTCTATTTATTCTGATTCTAATGGAAATACTGCCGCCATCCCAGGCTGCTGTTCTCAACAGCAGGTTTGGGTGAGGGTGGCCGAAGGGCACCAACAATGCATACAGCTTTAAAGTAGCTACTGGAGACTGTAACTACTAAGTGTGGAGGTTGGACCATGTGGGCAAATCTTTCTTTCCGTGGTTTAACTGTAGCCACGAAAGAAGTGAAGATTTAGAGCAGAGAGGCCAAATCAGGAATGGGCTAAGTAGAGAAGTTGGTTTGTTAAGATCAGGTTCACTATCTCAAAAATAAAGATGTCTTTTATGACTCACCATGCTTTGTCTTAATGGTAAACACAAGCAAGCTTTCACAGAGAAGAGGTCAGCCCGCAAGTCCCATGAATTGGATAAAATGTTTATGCAGCTTTCTATAGATGACTTCTATAGAAAGCACCTGTGTTTAATATATTATTTAAAAGAAGAATGCTTATTCTCAATCATAAAGCACTGTCAAACTGAATTTTTAAAAAGTTTAAATTATGTTGCCAAATAAGGTCCTACTTGATATTAACTAGAATGTGCTGCTGTTAATGATTGCTGCCACACAATAAAACTAAATCCTTGGTTCTAATTCACATGCAAACAGAAGAGGGGGAACATGTACAAAATGCTTAGAATAAGGTTAAAAAAGAATATATAAGATAAAAAATAAGGAAACTGAAGTTTGACCATTTTCCTTTAAGTGTATTATATGACTGAGCAATTAGTACTAGGCTGAAATAGCTGGTTGTTTGTTTGCAGACACATCCTGCTATATAACCAGGTTGGCCAAGAGTTTGCAACCCTCCTGTCTCAGCATCCTGAGTACTGGACAGCAGGTTTGAGCTTCAATACAAAGCTTAAATTTATCCTTATTTTTTTCTCCTATGATTTTTTTTCACATTTGTTTGTTTACTTTCTGTGTTTGTATATGTGTTTGAACCCATGAATATGCTTGCCATGGCACATGTGTGGAGAGCAGAAGACAGCTTGTAAGAGTTGGTTCTCTCCTTGTTCCATGTGGTTCCTGGGATTTAACTCAGGTCATCAAGCTTTACCAGATGAACCCTGACACTGGTCCCTTTATTTCCTCTCCTTTAAGTTATTTTCAAGGTGTCCATGTTTTAAGTACTTGGTAACTGAGAGTTAAATACTCTGGTTATAATGATTAGAAAGCAAAGTCCAGGTAACTGAGCAAATTAAGTATTAAATCACAAATATGCTAAGAACAACACTGGAACATCGGTAAAACAAAAATATTACATTTATTAAAATATCTCTACATAGCTACATTTTTAAAAAACATAGGGTTTTAAAATCATTATTAAAATATGTAAGAAAACAAACAGAATGTTTAAGAGAAAAACTTGAGTACATAAAAGCTTATTTAATACGTACTTTAGAATTTTATTTCTTGCAAGGGATAATATCCACATGTATACTTGTTCAATGTAAGCTTAGAGGGAAATTCATTTTTATTACAAATCGACTGCTTTTTAAGAGCCTGAGCTTAGGAACCAGCAAGATCTGGCTTTCACCTTTGAGAGGCTATATTTGAGAGGTGGGTGACTTTAAACAAGTATTTACCTTACAGGACAATTTCTACTACTGGGACTAGCACAACCTTACATCCCGATCATGATGTAAGCACACAACCTTACATCCCGATTCTAAGCAATTTCTGTTGTTCCCTACCATCTCCAACATGAAATCTTAACTTGCCCATCTGCTGCCATCCTCACCTTCCTATCTAAGCCTCCATCTTTTCTTTCAATGTCTTCTTATTGGTCTCTCTCCTACAGTCCATTTAAACATGTGAAATCCAGCATCTTCCACCCCATCCCTTTTGAGACAGTGCCTTGGCATGTATCCTTGGCTGGCCTGATACTCCCTATATACCTCAGGTTGGACTCAGACTTGTGGGCATTCTTCCTACCTCAGCCTATTAAATGCTG